TTATGATGGACGGTCAGCTTTGGTGAGTAGCTTTAACACTACTTTTTTCTTATAGGGATCAAATGAAACACACAAACCCACACACAAACACATTTGAACCTGTTTTGACAGTTTTTAAAGGATAGATATGGAGCGGTCAAGTTTCAAGTTTTAATGCATTTTATTTTGGTTTTTACGCAAACGGATTGAAGTTGTATTTTGCATGTTTCCTTTACTTATAAAAATTTCATGTTTTCTGAGCTCTACATTATGGACTTGCTCATTGTGTTGTATAATAGTGGGATTCGTGACTTCGGCCGATCATGAGCGTCTGTTTTGCCAGTGCTGCATAAGTGGGTTTTACTTTTCAGCTTCTTGATTTTCATTTTTGAACAAGCAAAGCTAATTCATTGCACGGAAGATTTATGTTCTTTTGCTCTGATTTTATATCGTATGCTGGCATCCCCGTAATATTCGTTATGGCCGTCCTATTTATGTAACATTCCATGTTGTTATTCATTTGAATCAGAACTTTGGATCGGGATATTTGTTGTGTTCATTTGTTAAATATTGAGGCACGGCCACAACAAGTGATCTTTGATAACTGGCACACTGTGTCACTTGAAATAGAACTATATTGATATGAAAATGCTTATCTGACACGTATCTCCTCTTCCCATAGCATCTTGCAGCATCTAGAGGATTTGAAGACATCACCCTTTTCCTTATTCAGGAAGGTGTAGAAATCGATCTGAGAGGTAAGTCTTCTATATCGAAAAATATACTTGTGTCTGTGCTCATTGAAATTTGTTTCTGACCTTGTGCAAATAATTAATTCGGTGATTTGCGTAGATAACTTTGGGAACACACCCTTACTTGAAGCTGTAAAGAATGGACATGATCGAGTTGCTTCTTTACTTGTTGGAAAAGGTGCTTCTATGAAAATAGAGGATGCTGGTAGTGTTCTATGTAATGCTGTTGCAAGGGGAGATTCAGATTACCTTAAAAGGCTATTATCTTATGGTATGGATCCTAACACGAAAGATTACGATTACCGAAGCCCTCTTCATGTTGCTGCAGCTGAGGGTTTATTCTTAATGGCAAAGTTGCTGATAGAGGCTGGAGCCAGCGTTTTTATCCAAGACAGGTAAGTTAAATTACTCATTTTGCGTGTTCATGCTGAAATGAACATTGAGCCGTGTTAACGCAAAGAGAACCTGGCCGTTGTATTTGTCACTCGGAAGTAGGAGAGATAGGCATGTGCATGCTTTATATTGCCATTTTAAATTTTTTTGGCATCACGGTGATTGCAGTATCTTGTGCCCATCTGTGTCTTTAAATGCTTTATCTTTTACACCCTCGAGTACTAAAATTCATTTGGCTGACCAACAAAATTAAAACCCTTCTAATTGCAAATGATATTTGGATTTTTTGTGCGTATATGAATATGTCTTGATATATTTTTTCCCCCTTTTCTATACGTTGTTTGGAAACAACTTTCTGAAAACTAAATATTTTATGGTTTAAATATATCCACTCCTCTCCGTAATTTTAACATCAATAAATTCACCTGCTTTTTCAACTTTAAGTTTCCCTGTTTCCTTTTTGTTGTAAATGCGAACGTGTTCATTCTATTGGCATTACTTTGCTTCAAGTAATGAAGAGCGCGGTTCGCACCTTCAATCTCGGGATTAAACTCCTCTGACCCCTCTCTCTGCCTCGCAGATGGGGAAATACCCCTCTTGATGAAGCTAGGATGTGTGGAAATAAGAATCTGATCGAGCTATTGGAAGATGCGAGATCTGCTCAGTTGTCAAGATTCCCTCATCTTTCCTCAGAACTTACAGGTTTTGACAAATACTCTGTTACTGTTATTTAAAGGAAAAGCGAAAATCCTGAGGTTCCAAAAGGGAGAAAAACTGCTGTCTTCTGGCTAGCCTTAACCCTAAAGTTACCTTCTTCCTGTTCATAGTTCTCCTCGACTTTGTTGTCATGTTAAATTGTATTTTGAATCAACTTTAATTTGTTTCCCTATTATATTTAAGAAACTATATCTAAGTTTTGCATCTAGTCACACCTGATGCTATCAGGGGTGACTACAGAACTTCCTCATGATCACTAAATTTTGGAGTTCTTTAAAATTTCGCCCACCAGAGGAATATATTTCATCATGACAAGCAGCTGCTTTGCTAATTTAAATAAAAAATTTCAAACGATGTTCTCATGGCCAGCTTGTGTTAGATATAGGATTTAGCAGCTATTTCTGTTTTCAAATATGTAGAACTAACAAATGAAAGTAATAATTCTGCTCATCCTTGCTTTATCTAGACCAACTAATGCGGTAATTTCAAAGCTGATGTTACTTTTTATCTGTTTGCAGTGAAACTTCATCCCAAGAAATGTACAGTTTTTCCTTTTCACCCATGGGGTCCAAAAGAACATAGAAGACATGGGATTGTGCTATGGGTTCCACACACCATTGAAGAGCTTATCGAAACAGCAGCGGAGCAGCTTAATGTTTCTAGTGATTGTTCTATTCTATCAGAGGATGCTGGTAAAATTACTGATGCGAACCTCATTATGGATGGTCAAAAGCTGCACCTAGTCCATGAAACACATTAAAGATGTATATTAAGCAATCATAGCTCTGTTTTCATAGGGCAATGTACCTGTATCTGCATGGAACCTGTTGTGAAGCTGAAATTACATGATGCTATCCTTCGGGTGTTACATGCAACAAATAAATAGTCATCATGATTCCTTCAATGTGATTTTCAAAATCCCACTTTTTTCTATGACTTGGCAATAACTATTCTACATTCTTTGAATTACACTCCCCAGTTCATTATCACTCTAAGAGGTTAATCAATTGGCTAGGTTCTACTTTAGTTTCAAGTTCTGTGCCTGCTTTTTGCATGACATGAATCTCGAGCGTTTAACACTGAGCTTGTTGTCCACTCTATTGGGAACCAATATCATGAGCTCGGAACAGACTGAAAGTTCGAGCTTAGAGTTTTTTTAGTTCCGTAAACAGGTTATCATTCATGATGGATTGCAGCTTAAGTAAAAACTGGATATCACAAAAAAGGTCAATTTATTTTTAGATTTAAGTATATATATCTATTGAAAGTTTATGAAGATTTAAGCTATTCAAAACACACAGACCGCATGCGGGAAAACCTCTTGCATATGAAAAGGGAGCATACCTAATATATGTGTTGAATTTGTCTGAAGTGCTTCTGAGCTGCAAGATTAGCAGCAGTTGGTTGGTCATATTCCTCATTGTTGAGTAAGTTCTCCCTGGAAACTGCACTAAAGAGTGATTGAGATGCAGCAGCAAAAAGTTGAGCAGTTGACTCCATCAAGAAACTCAAAATGGGGCAAGTTAAGCACACAAGTATGAAATTCATCGATAATAGCTATTTGAAGCTTTAGTTCAAGAACAAAAGTTTTTTTGTTCATTCCACCATGGAGAGTGCTGAACTTTGTAGTGGAAGGACATTTTATCGCCAAGTCTCTTAGCGTGGCCAAGAAGCCAGAACCAGAGATTCCTCGTGCTTACAGTTGAAGGATAGTTCCAATGGTGGAAGTAATAATATAAGCTATAAAATGAATCAATCTTATGCGGCAAGAAATTCCCTACTTCGATTATGTGTCAAATTTGTGTTGGAGATATTCATAGGTCAATCCTCAATGAACAAAACAAGAATTCGAATATCTTTTTAAATTTAGGAGGCTTAGTTGTGATTTTATGATTATTTTTTATTTATTAAATCCAAGATATTAATCTTATTTACAGATGAATCAGCCGCATAATAGTTCTTAAATTACCGGGCTAAGCTAGAATCAGCCGCATAATAATTCTCAAATTATAGGGCTAAGCTAAAAGATATCCCGCAATTTTCAGAAAAATTAGAAATCATTGCAGCACTTCCAATTACCTGAACACTTTGGAATTCAAAGTTCATGGTTTTTTAACTCTGATTTTGTATAACCTCAAGTACTAATTATCAATTGGGTTAATACAAATGTTGATCTTTCAAAGTTTATTTTCGTTTTGGTTTTGGTCCCTCAAGTTTTTTTTATTTAAAATATTAGTCTCTATAATCTAATAAAAACTCAGACTATTTTGCTTCTTGAGGAACCAAAACTTATAATTTGAAACTTAAAAGATTAAAATCAAAATGAAGATAAATTTAAAGGACCAAAAATTATATTAACCTTTATAAATTTAAATTCTTAATTATTTTGAAGCCAAAAAAAGTCTTAATTATTTGCACTCTAAACAATCTATCTCTTGATCGTGCAAAAGAATGGGAAAGCTGGATTATTTCATTTAACAAAAGAGAAGAAAAATTAACGGACCTCCTATTTAATTAATGGAAAGATATCGGCCGAGTCTATTTTAATGACTCGGAGAAAATGAATTATAGCAGCCGAATAACATAAAATAATTTTTTTTTTTTTTTAAAAAAAGAACGTGCTCTTATTTCAGTTCAAGGGAAGATGGTAAGAAAACTCTTCACCGTCTCAGGTCATTATTGCCATGAGGAGAAAGTGGGGAGACCGCGATAGCGATATAGAAGCGTGATCAAATTGTCCTCTTCGTATCAAAAAGGAACGTGATCAAATACGGCTGGTAGTTAGTAGTTAGTAGTTAGTACACGTGGCCCCCATTTAACATATCCACCTGTCACCCATCAAACAAGCTGCCGCTTCACGGTCACGAGTGGCGAACGACGGACATATTTCTTACCCTTGAAAGGACGATTATGCCCCCAGCATTGCCTCTTGTTTTGAATCTCCCTTCGAGCGCGCCAAGTCTGAACGACTGGTCCCTGGTCGTTTTAACTGAATCAGTTGTGACTACTGAGCTTTTTCTCTCCCTCCCTTTCTTTCTCTCCCCCTCCCTCTCTCTCTGTGTATACACGTCTACGAGATTTCTGCATGAAAAATTTTCAGAAAAGAATCAAAGAAGCGAAGTCTTGGGGTATCCTCAAGCTCAAAGCGAAGCTTTAACCATGTCTTTCTCTCTCTTTGAAGCGTGTAGGAAGAGAAAGAGATGGCCCAAGGTTTTCAGGTTTCACTCTTTCGCCGACCCTGGTTGCCCCATCAGTCCTAACGGACCTTTTAGAGATAACATTCGGCTCTTTCTTCAAGAATGTGGAGAGCTTGAAGATTTCCAGATCCAGGGCATGCCTCTGTGGACCACCTTTCTTATTCACGAGAAATCAAACAGTATGACTCCTCTTTACACTATTGAAGAGGATGTCTACCACTCTACGCACCCTTTCTGCGACCATTGCAGATGTGCGGGTTAGTCTCTGACTCTGAACCATCCATTCTTTTAGAATTTTTCCAGCTTGGGTCTGTTTAATTTGCGTTTCGTGATCTGCGTCCGTTTCATTTGCCAAGAATCTTGACTCGTTGAGGGTTTGGTGGTTTGCTCGTTAGCTTTCCTCTGTTTCTTTAGTTCTCTCTGTTTTAGATACTGATATGGGTGATTATTGAGATTATGATGGCCAGGCTGGAGCGGCCATTTTGTGTCGAAGAGAAGGTACCATTTCATAATCGCCGCCGATAATAAGCCATTGAATGAAGGTTCTCTTGATAACCAGAGTCATCTCTTGCATGGAATGATTCATTGCAATGGTTACGGCCATTTGCTCTGTGTTAATGGCATTGAAGGGGGTTCTAAATTTCTCAGTGGCAGAGAAATCATGGATCTGTGGGACAGGATCTGTACTATTCTCCGAACAAGGTATTGGAAAGACCACTAGACCTATCTTGATTCTGCATGAATTTCTCAAACATTTTGAGGGTCTAAACTTTTTGGGGTTTCTTTGAAACGGCAGGAAAATCGCAGTTGAAGATACATCAAAGAAGCGTTCAATGGATCTTCGCCTGCTTCATGGAGTTGCTTATGGCCATTCTTGGTTGGGTAGGTGGGGTTACAGATTTTCTCGTGGAAGCTTCGGTGTCACAGAGCACAATTATAATGCAGCAATCGAACTTCTAAGTTCGTTAGAACTTGATGAGATCGTTCAATATTTTGGTAATACAATGTGCCATAAAGAAATCAAACAAATAATTCGCCACTATAGAGACATGAGTGAAACCCAGTTGATTACAATCAAGGATCTTCTCAGGTTTATGCTTACCGTCAAGTCTCGAACTCCTCCTGCACCCAAGAGACTAATAGTCAATGTCACTACTCCTCCTCCTTCAACCTTCTGTCCAAAAAACTCAACGAGATTTGCAATGCCAAGCAAACAAAGCCTGTTAAAGGAAAAATCAGTGAGGTACAAAAAGTTCAGTTCAGCAGTGGCTAATATGGATAGTAGGTGGCCTGCCAGGCGACTAGAATACGCAGCCCAAGTGATAGTAGATGCATTGAAGGAAAACAAAGCAAATAGTTCGTGTTCTGGGGGGATGACTAGGCAAGATGTAAGAGATGCAGCTAGGCTCCACATTGGTGACACAGGCTTGCTGGATTATGTGCTGAAATCACTGAATAATATGATTGTTGGAAACTGCGTTGTCCGGCGAATGGTCAACCCGACAACTCGAATCCTAGAGTATAACATTCATGAGCTGGGAAATGGGTCTAAATCTCCTCAACTACATCCTGGGCTACAGGTTTTTAATTTTAAGGAGCCTCCAGCAGAATCAGAACCAGTGCCAGGAATTGATGTTTACAGTGATGTAGCTTATCTGTACAAGAATGTCCTATTGGGCTACCCAGATTCAGAACAAGCGGACTTGGCGGTTCAAACAATTCTAGACAGTAGGCATTTTGTGAAGGAATGGACACTGATCGATGAAATAGAGCAAGTTTTGACATTCATATGCCGCTTGATACCCAACTTCGTCGATGATAAACGAGAGTTGAACAAGGAAGTATCCCCAGGTGAGATAGTGATGGTTCCCCTGCACGCAACAGTCCGAGACCTGAAGCAAGCAGCTGAGATTGCTCTGAGGGATACTTACTGTATTGCAGAGAGAATCATGGTGATAGAGATCGCAGAGTTGGCGGGAATAAGTGATGAGGAAGTGCTTTTTGGAGTAGTGCAGTCTGGTGTGGATCTGTGTGTGAGGGGAATTGGTTTAGATTTGAATACTCCATTGAAGTATCAGGGAGGATCAGACAACTGGAAGGTGAGATGTGAATGTGGAGCTCAAGATGATGACGGCGAGAGAATGGTGGCATGCGACATTTGTGGGGTGTGGCAGCACACACGGTGTTGCGGGATAGATGACTCAGAGACTGTGCCACCATTGTTTGTGTGCTCTGGGTGTTGTGATTCGCTTGTACCTCCAAGGGTTGATTCAGCCTTCAGCAGCAACAATAGCATGGACTGTGCGGATGATTTTCTGATTTCCACAGAGCCTAATAGCTTTCTGGAATTTGGGTATGGGTACTGAATAAACGCAGAGACTCATTTTTTGTCATTGACGTTTCATTCGATGATTCATGTACTTTTGCAAAGTTACGTTTGGAGATATGTTCGATTCTTGCATAAAAATAGAAAAAGGAGGGGAAAAGAAAAAAAGATAAAGGAAAGAAATAGGTCTAAGACTTCAGGCGCGTAGAGGCAGCCTCTGTTTGTGTACAGTGGTCAATTTTAGCCTGTTAAATTCTACGGCTGGATGAATAATAAAGAATATCCGAGCATTATATAAATTTTCATGATAGAGGCTCCTTTTATCTGATCTTGTACTTGTGTCTTGATCTGGGATTATCAAACAATCTTGTGAAGCCTGCGAGGTCTTCGGACCACACGCTCTGGATACCGCAATAGAAAACAAATTTAAATTCGTTGATTTCTTCTCGACAGATTTTCCACTACAATTGCTGAAAGTCGAAGACTTTCAGATCATCTCAGTCTCAAACAATCACATGGTTAATTCACAAAATGTTTGTTGCAAGAACCGTCTAATCACCATGAGAAAACAGAGCTAGTTATGCAGCTATGCAGAGATCATCACCATACTCAGCACACAAATTAAGTTAAACAAGACTAAACAGATCAATTGTCCTGATGACATAAACTTGATGGTGTGTAATTACTTCCAATCCTGTCTACATTATATAACAATATATATAATCATCATCAACTTGAGGGTTGAGGCTTTTAGAAGAAGGGAGCCCTACGGGGTGTTCCCTTTCTTTTGTTTATAGGCTTCTGGGGCTCAGAGGCTTTCTCTTTCTTTCCCTTAGAAGGACGCTGGATGGTAATGAAGGGAGGGAGTGATTCATTGGGCTTCCTTAAAACAGCTTGAACCTGAAAGTTTAGATTAAGAGATAATAACAAGTATGCTAGTGATAAAGTTCAAAATAATGACCGAGGGGGTGAAGAGAAGGGGTAAATTTGCAAGTGATTGTCAAGGCCTTGTCGCACCTTGCATGAAATGGAGCAGTAACGATACAGATGAGGGTGAGTCACCCTCCTACCACAGATCTCACATAATAGTCCAGTATCTGTTGCCAAACCGCCATGTGGAAGAGGATTCAGAGCAATAACCAATCGTTTGTTGCATTTGTAGGTCTGCCATCAGGAAAAGGTATCAATATTAAAAACAGAGCAATTGAACACGTTAAGACTCACTTCTCTGTTTAAATCAGTAATTCGCCTTTGAAACATAACCAAAAGAAGCAAGGGATTAAGAGCCAGTTTGTTCAAAATTAAAAAAACAAAAGGTGATTTAGTTAAGCTTAACACTTGGGTTGTTGAAAGAACATTAAGCTAATCATAAAGATTTTGTTGGGAAAAAAAAATCTATTTTTATCCTTTTTCGATAAGCTATTTTAAATAGCTTATCAAAATAAGCCTTTTCCAACGCACCTCTCGTGTTTACATTAAGTTCTACCAACAACTTCCTCGTGCTCACAACAATTTTCTCATGTTCTGCCTGACTAAAATCACTTTTTTAAATCTTAAACAAACTGGTCCCAAGTGTGGTATAGACATACATGCCTGACACCGCTCAAGAGCTAAAAACTAGGTTGTACTTATTGCCAGAAAATAATGCAGTTCAGAGTATTGACTGATGGGATTCTCTTTTACTAATTGTCACCAACTGACCCGGTTTTTCCGCTCATATGGAAAGTAAGACTGTAAGAGAACAGCACGATGAGAAAATAATGCTGGGAAGGACCGCCAGGAAAGAATATTTACTTGAAGCTCTGTAATACTATTAGCAAAGTATCAGATCCGTATTATATTTGTTTTAAATTTACATGCCACCATCATAGTGAATGCTAATTGCTCACTACTATCTTTCACACCATCACACTAAGGTCAAATGACATGAAGAGTAAGCTTTTATTAACAAATAACAATACTCACTTGAGATAAATCAAGTCTACTACACAAGAATTGGATCAATACTTGTAAAGTTTAGCTAGAATACTCAAGGCAAGTAGGATGTATTACCTGAATCTGTGAACAGTCAATATGCTTTTCAACAGCAGCCATGGCAACAACATATTTGTAAACATGTTTATAAATGCTAAGCATTTTGTGGCATCGATGAATACCAAAAGACACACAATATTGGCAAGCAGATTTGTTGCAGGTCATACAGTATTTGTTAAGTTCATTCTTGTACATAGGATGAGCTGCACAAGAATCAAAGAAGGTTTGTTTCAGAATAGGCCCGAGCCACCTGGGCTTGTTGACTCTACGTTGGGCCACTTGTTCAACCTGCATATGGAACCATGTCAATTTACAGTGGAAGTTATAGAAAGACACTAATGTCTATCTCATCATTATTTTTCTTTTTCTTTTTTTTTGGGTTAATCCAGGTTCTTTCTATTTCCATTTTCCTCCTAGAAATCAAAGTCCTGCTCAAAGGCTGGGGTCTTGTGCTCAGAAAGTACTAAATTTACATTTCAAATCATTATGTACAACTTTACTTTGTCTCCTGTCAACATTGAGATCCCTTAGGACCAACAACTAATAAAGGCAACCTATTCTGAATTGAAGGCCTAACACAATTGATACAATCAATTTCCATCACTCGTTTCATTTATATAATTTGTTTCCCTTAATAAACCTCTGTATATATTTGCTTGTTTGAGCTATTAAAGTTGGTTCCGTTTCTGTATATGTTTGAATGTCATTAAATGCCAAAGCCACCGGATACTATCTGCAGGGGAGAACAAGTAATTAGATAAGCTGGAACATTCATAAAGCAGTTTGGGAAATTAGTTAGTTCAATCTCGTGTTCCAGCTCCAGGATTTAAACAAAATCAGAGTGAGAAGATATGCATGCCGCTCTAAAGAGCAATATGATGAGATGTTTAACATATGGTAAGTCCATAGGATTATTTGTTACAGTATGATGTCAATAATCATGATAAAATAAACATTATACAAGGAAATCAATAGAGATGAGAGAAAGAGCATAGAGATCATTGGAAGTTGAAAATCAAATTCAACATCACATATGGCCAAGAAGTATTTAATTGAAAGCGACTAATTTCAATAATTCTTTTTTTCGTCACTCGAGAAAGTTCGTTGAAACGCGACAAATCAGCAGTAGAGAAAAAAATGGTTGTATTTAACGGATTTAACCAATTTCGAAACAACAAAAGGACTAAAGACTTTTTCGATAGTAGGAAATATTTACGTGTGGAACAAACGTATGAATTTTCTATCTGCTTCTGAAAAGTCATACAGTTTTGTTGCATCCAACATCATTTTTACTTCCCTTCCTTTTTCAGATGAATCTCGATTTTATAGGATAGACAACTAAGAATCAGATTCTGGTAGACTATTAATCAATTTGGCAGCATGTTAAAGAAAAATTTTGACATTATTTTACTTCAATGATGATTTTCCAAGCCCAGAAAGAGTTTTTCCTCCATAAGTTTTTAATGAGAAGAAACAACTTTGTAACAACCCATTTACCTGGAGGGTTAAGGGATCTAATCCCACTCAAATAAAGAATCTATTCTTCTAACCCTCTATATAGAAAATTGGGAAAAGGAAAATGTTGAAGATTATAACTAAAAGATGCAGAAGGTAAAGACATATTTGCTTTATACTGCTTAAATTGACACCAGGAACACAGAGGCAACCAATCACTTTACCTTGTCCTCCTTTTTAGAGGAAGAAGCACTCATCTTTTTCATCTTGCAATTTCAAATGGAAAATTAATTTACAATCTTAAAGACAAAGGACACTTGAGGAGAACTCCAGATCCAATTTGACGAATTTGATTATCCAAGAAAGGGCATAGAAGAGAAGGAAAAGAGAGGCAATCCTAGAAAGTAATTTGAGATACAATTCTTGCTTTCCTATAGCCAGTTCATTTTGTAACTGAGGAATGACTGACTGAGGTGTCCGGTGAATAGAGGCTCTATTGATGAAATCAAGGCGCCTAAGCTAATCCACTTTTCACATTTTCCAGTAAATATGCAGGACAGGTGTTCACAGATCAATGAGACTAATCTGCTTCATTGCTCAAAAGGAATTTGTCGCTAGCAGAATTCAGTTTCATCTTTAGACCAAAAATATTACCCTTCCTTGGAGAGATTGTATAAACTACGGAGTGTGCCATTCTATGAATTATATATTTTTATAAATCAGAGAATACAAGAGTGAAACTTCATCATTCATGAGCCATAAATGAAAATTGGCAAAAAGCATCTTGTGATTTATATTGATTTTATCAGCAAAGTTAGACCATGGCAGAAAAGGCCAACGCATTGAGTTCATTTTTTATTCAAAGTAACCTGAATTTCGGGATTATTCAGACGAATATCAATGAGAGACGTTAGTGAACATTAAGGCGTTTGCACGAGAAACATTTCGTTTGAAAGGAGAATACCAAATCCCAACAAATGCTAACTATTATACCATCAATTACAATCCTGGAGTCTTGTTACCCATCATCAACATTTCATACATTATTATCATTCATGACTTTGCTATGAGCAATTAAGCAAATATGTCAGCTCTATGAGTTCACACTACCTGGCATTTACTCACCCAGGCTCAAACGTAGGTGTGCCTTGGCAAAACGCCATTTTGGCCTTTATCACTTTTATTGGTACCAGTTGCGTCAATGGCGGAAACAGAAGCCTCCATTGTTGTCTGCTAAGAGGAAGAAGGAGAGGAGCAATGCACAAAGGCATTAGGGGCGAAATTTGACGAATTAAAGAAAGACGATATGCTCAGTCAAAGGTAGAATGGGTGAAGATGAAGGGCAAAGAATGGAGCTTTAGCAAGCTCGGTAGGTGTAGGTGTAGCTACTCACTAATGCTCTGCAGAAGAAGAAGGCGGGAGGGAAACTTTTCAGGAGGAGGAGGAAGAAGGAGAGCAGAGAGAGAAGAGAGGACGACAGATGATGGAGGGTTTTCTGCGGATGAGTCCAAAGTTGACGTAATTCATGTTTATTTCTCTGAAATAAAATACTCAAACTTCAGAAAATATATGCTAGGTATATTTAAAATGTATAAGATAAACAACTAAAATAAAATATTTACATTGAAATTATTTTTTATGAAATTTTTTATATATCCAATTAATATGGATAGTTTAAAAAAAATTATAAATTTAAAAAGTAAAATATATTAAAATTTTGGAGGTAGTACTTTCTTTTTAAAAAAATTATAATTTAAAAATTTTGAGCAAATTTCTTAAAAATTAAAAATTATTTGATAATAATAGTTCAATTTTGAAAATTTTTATAATTTATTTTTTTAATTATGAAAGTTTTAATTCCAATATTCAATAGTTTGTGAATTTTTTAAATAAAATACATAGGAATATGTCTATCTTGGGCCTCTTGGTCCCCAAGTGCCGGCCCATTCGAGCCCATAATAAATGAAGATTTCTATGCTTGTTCTCAATTTCTCATTAATTTGTAACAAGAAAAATTTCTCATTAATTTAACAAATGCAACTAAAAGGTTTATGTCTACCAAAAGAGCTGGTTCCTCATGAATTAAGATTTAAATTTTTATTAGAAGAAGTATACACATTCAGTGTCTAATAATATTAATGCACGTGCTTAGCCCAAAAAAAATAATACAGTGCTCTAAAGCCTGCCCCTCTTCTGCCCCTCTTTGTTTTTGGGCCAAAACTCAAAACTTTGTCTAACTCAACTCGATGTTACTCCCTCCGTTTCTTATTATAAGACATTTGATATTTATGACATATTTCCATATATAAGAGATACTTAAAAGTTGTTTCTATTTTTTTGTATTGATTTTCTATTTTACCTATATTTATTTTGTCTCCAACTTACTCACTCTCTCCCTCCCACTCTTTTTTCTTTTAATAATTTAATTGTTTCCTCTCATACTCTCTCTCCTTATTAATGGGGGCATTATTAGAAAAAAAATATTATATTTTTTACACATTAATTGTCCTCAACTAATTTTAACTATTTTTTTTCAACGTAATTGGTTATTTGTCTCTTATAATAAGGAACGGAGGGAGTATTAATTAAAACTCTTGATGGAAAACAATAATTAATTAAAATTCAATGCAGCTTTCAAAAACCAATAAATATATCTTAAGAATAACTGCATAAAAATTAACAAAAAAATCATCAGTACAATCTTTTTACTTATTTATTCTTTCAATTCAATGTCTTTTATTATTATTTTAAATTCGATGGGTCTAGGACCTACAATTTAACTAATTTCAGATTTTACGCTCTTTTTTTAACTGCAAACTGGATACTGTATAAACATAGTAAAAATTACAACAGAGGGTCAAAACCAGAATAAAAAAGAAAGCAAAAAAGAAGGCCTATCTAAGCTCTCTCATTAGCGACCGCCTATTGTATAAAAGATGGTGAATCAAAGATACAAAGTTCCCCTATAATATGTGAGCTGCCCTAGTTAAATGGTCAGCAACAGAGTTGTTTTCCCTTTTAATATACTCCATCCGTTTCTTATTATAAGAAACGAATAACCGAATTACATTGATCGAAAAAAAAGTTAAAATTAGTTGAGAACAATTAATATGTAAAAAGTATAATTTTTTTCCAAAATGCCCTCATTAATAAGGAGAGAGAGCATGAGAGAGAACAATGGCAAATTATTAAAAGAAAGAGAAGTGGGAAGGAAAAGTGTGTGAGTTGGAGACAATAAATATGGGTAAAATAGAAAATCAACACAAAAATAGAGACAACTTTTAAGTGTCTCTTGTATATAGAAACATACCATAAGCATCAAATGTCTCTATAATAAAGAACGGAGGGAGTAGTGAAATCAACTTGCCAATCCTTAAGAATTAACATTCTAGCATCGTCAATTGTATCCTTAAAAAGATGGTCACAACTGCAACTATAAATTACAAACTAATGGCTGTTACACGGTCTGTGAACACTACTACCTTCTTAAAGCCTCTCACACAGCAGATATGTATGCCATTGATGATTTCCAAAATCTTTGGTGGGACTAAAGATTTTACGCCCTTTAAAAAGCTTCGATTATTTTGTTCAAAATTCCAATAATGTATTATATAATTTTTTTTTACAAAAATACAAACATTTTATTGTATGTATGTGATGCAAAATCTAATGATATATACAACTTTAAAAAATATCTCCTTATTTTGTTGTTCCATAAATCAAATAATAACCAATTATGTTAGTATTTTCGTGAATAGTTTATTTTTTAACAATTACTACTGTTTTTATATCATAAAAAATAATTATAGTTTTAGTTTACTCGTAAATGAAAATATCTGCCGTTACTGAATGATGGCATCATGTTAATCCTTACAAAAAAATCTTACTAATTAATTACATTTCCTTCTTTTACATATTTTGCAATATTCGTTAGTAAGGATTTCCCATTTAATAAGATTCTCATATTTATTGACCAAAATAAATTATGCGCTCGTATTCACGATTTACATGTTCCTGATTTGACTGCATATATATACGCTATCGACCATTATTAACACTGCAAAGTGCAAAAAGATGAGTATGACATTCTAATCCACTGTGTGTATAATATTCTTACATATTTTGAATTGATTGCAAAAGACTCTTTCATACATTTGGATAGCCATTATTTCTTTGGTTAAATGAATATTAGTGATAATTATTTCTAACTTTGAGGCTTAGTTAACTATGGATATCCTCTTCATAATCAAAATATCGATTGAGTGAAAAGGACCTAAGTAACATAGGAGTTTGAATATCGGCTGATTAAAAAAAAAAATATTGGCAAAGCAACTCCTAATTGAATTGACTGGATATAATAATACTCGAATCTGAACTATTGAATAACTGTTTATATATATCGACTTAAAATACTTTTTATGTTTTATAAAATAAAACTGGTCTCATATTTATAAGGTATTATCTTCGGTACTTAATATAAGAACTTGTTGACTAATTTGAGTAGGTTAAAAAAAATTAGTTGGTTTAGTTATTCGTAATAAATGAATGTTATCTTTTCTAAAATATCCTCGCTAATCAAGTGTATTGGTTAGAACTACCGTTATTACAAGAACCACCTTGAAAAAAATAAATATGAGAAACAAAATGGATTATGATCAAAATAAAAATCAAACAAATTCTTATATTAAGTACAGGAGGTAGTACAATATAAAATCACCTTCTCATGGCTAATTCCAAGAAAAACACTAAAATACTTTAAAATGTGCCTATAATACAAGCTTACGATAAGATTTACAGGTTGTCGGGGAATTATCGATGTACAGTTGTCGTGTCAAAACTATCTTTACACACACAATTACATATCCATCTAGTGATTTTTGTGAATGAAACCTGCCACCATTCTCATTAACTCATCATTCATGTTGCATATCTCCCATATCAAATTCCCAGATTCTCGATATTCTCCATCCATTTTCCTACACATGTTAACATGCATGCTTCATTTATAGTCCCTTTTTTTAAAAAAGAAATTTACACGTATTTTCAAAAATTGTAACGTGTAGGACTTAATCATGTCGCATATGGGTTACAATGTACAAAGTATCTAAAATAGTAATTACTGCCTAATTAATACAATGAATGAATTACTAAAATATTATTTTCCACCCCACCAAGTTGGACTATAAATACCATACACTGTTTGGGGTAAGAATTGCACACAACAGAAACTTTTTTCTGTTTCCATATTTCTCTTCATTAGCTTTTCTAGTCACACACTGCCATGACTAGAAAGAAGGTGAAGCTCGCGTTCATAGCGAACGATTCTGCTAGAAAAGCCACATACAAGAAAAGAAAGAAGGGTCTGATCAAGAAGATCGACGAACTCACCACTCTCTGCGGAATCGAGGCCTGTGCGATAGTCTACAGTCCGTACGATTCTCAGCCGGAGTTTGGCCGTCGCCGTTTGGGGTCCAGCGCGTGCTTTCTAAGTTCAGGAGGATGCCGGAGCTGGAGCAGAGCAAGAAGATGGTGAACCAGGAAGGGTTTCTGAAGCAGAGGATTCTGAAGGCGAAGGAGCAGTTGAAGAAGCAGAGGAAGGACAACAGGGAGAAGGAGATGACTCAGATCATGTATCAGTATCTCAGTGCAGGGAAAGTTCTGCATAATATGACGATGATCGATCTCAACGATTTGGCGTGGCTGGTCGAGCAGAATCTGAAGGACGTGAATCGGAGAATGGAGACGCTGGACAAGAGGGCTCAGAGTCAGAGGGCGACCGACGTGGCGGCCATTGCGGCTGCTGATGCGGCAGCGAGGAGCCGAGATAAGGCGAAGGTGGAGCAGGTGGATGGGATGGAGGTGGCCGGCGGAGACGCCATGCCGAAGCAGCAGTGGTATATGGACATGATGAATGGTGGTGCCGATGAAACGCTGCCGTTTGGGGACGTGGGTCAGTCCAATGCGTTTTGGCACAATCACTATTTCCCTTGAAGGAAGACGAGCTTGGGATCTGTGCCCATTGGGGTTTGTTTTGCTTGGGTTTGTTTGTCGTTTTCTGTTTTGATGTTGTCGTTTTGTCATTATTTTTCAAAATTTTTTTGTTACTCTTTAATTTTCATTTTAAATTCGTGAGTACTGTAATCACTGTGAAATGTTTCAACGTATTGTCATATAATGTCTATATACTGCTTTATATATATTTTTTCAATTTCAATAAAATACATGTTCGGTGTTTCCTCAATCTGAGTTGTTTCCACCTCAAAATGTACTGGTTGTGTGGAACTAAAGACTTGAGATATGGAATATTGAGTCAACGTGTTATGGTATTATTTCTGTTTACTTTTTCAATATCTGTTCAGACTCTTCAGAGATTGTTTCAGCAGTTAGAATTTTTTCCTTCTCATTCATTGGCTGCTCATTACGACTTATACGGAATTAATAATGAGAATTAGGATTATGAGCATAATTAATTTTTTAAAATTGTATATATGCAACTAATAGGTTGCTGGAAAACCTGAAAACTTTTTCACAATGTTAAAATTTTAATAAGCCCGATATTAATTCATTTTATGAATATGATGAGTACGAGGGGGACTATTTATGTGTTACTTCGACCGGCAACTTGTTATTCTATTTCAAAAACTGTTTGAATTTAATTTAATAATTTAGATTTTGTGATTTCATAAGATCTGGTTAACGTTTTAAACTAACAATTTTAATAAAATTACTATTATTCTGCATTTTAATAAAATTGCTTTGTCGTGTGCATCTGTTCCCTGAGGCAATCCGAGCGTGAAATCTGATATCATTAACTACTCTCAAGAGTTACCTCTGTTTATAACTCTTAACGATGAAGCATCTTCATCATTTGAGTCAGAAACGTTAGTTTTAATTTGACATGACAATCCATAATTTCAACGACTATTTTCCTACACTGATTTAAGACTATTGTGATTTATGAAGCCACCAAAGTGGACTGGCTCGATCGAATGATAAGAGAAATTGACATAAATTCTTGCAATCATTTATCATGTGGAGGGGCAGTTAGAATATTTTGTGGGAAACAGCTAATAACAAAAACTTATGTGTCTCTCCTCAACCTTATCTCTAAGACTCTTTAGTCAAAGTTTCAAATATAGCTTAAGCATATCACTAAAAACACCCTCGAAAGTCGAAATAGGTCTTTGTCGAGATCATAACGTTGAGAAACTAATTAAAGAAAGAAATTATTAATTAAAACACTTAAACACCGAACGTTGTTCCAAATTCTGAAGGCAAGGGTGTGGATAATAAATCATCGTTGTTATCAAGATTACCAAACGACGACAATGAATTTGATTATGATCATTCAATTCAAATCTGATCTTTCTATTTAGCATATGGAAATTAATTAAAAACACGATGAAGCGTTAAAAAGGAAGCAAAATTGTAGCACCAGATCATGTATATCTCAAAATTCCCAAACTTCCAAAATTGAATTCCAAAACTTTAATGGAATGATTCTTTGAATATCTATGTGTGTCGCAAATTTGTACAGTGTTTCTCTGATGAATCTATACAGAAAACTAAACAAAGCTAAGTGAGGATGAATGGGGTAGATCAAAAGGGCTTCTTAAGGTGCTTCAAATCCAATGACGAATCAACACACTCCACTGTGTTCTTGTAAGCATTCAGCAACTTCAACAAATCAGTGGCTTTTCCCTTCGTCCTCTCTTCGCACCCAACCTGCAACAAAACCAGAACCTTCTGAAACGCACCCGCTTGAAGTGCCTCCTTCACCGTATCTTCATCCATCTTGTCACAAAGTTTCCAAAGAATTGACACTCCAAAATCAGAAGCCAACCCTGAAACCCTCAATATCTTCTTCACTACAAGAGGCAAAGTTAACATATTGGCCTTTGCCACTTCCTTCCCTTCGTCGTAATCACATATACAATCCAAAACTCCCAAAGCCTTTTCACATATCCCTCTACCTCCGTCCACAAGTGCTTCGAGCAACAACGTAACTAGGCCTAGTTCCGCACATCTTTTGATGATTCTCTCTTTCTCATTTGATGAGGAAACGATCTGGAAAATTGCTTTCAGGCTTGCTTTTGTTGCAGGAGGACCTACGGGCTCCTTGATCATCTTGACTAAGGCTTCGATCGCACCTTCAGTTTTTGCCAATGGCTCTATAGGTACTTGCTTCAGAACTAAAGCTGCGTTTTGCCTTGACGAGAGGTCTTTGCTGTTAAGGAACCAAACCATGCAACGTAAAGACGCTTCAGAACTCAGCAATGACTGAGTTTGAATTTGAGCATAACCCTCTTGCCCCTTTGGAAGAACCCATGTTAAGATCCCCAGAATATCCTTTAAAAGGCCTACGTTTTTCTCAATCGAAGCGTTTGAAAAAGAACTGAAGGCGTTGGCTAATGCAGTGGCAGCCCCGTTTTGAACGATACACTTCTTGTTCCTCTCGCTTTCTCGGCCCCAGATCTTTATCTTATCCACCAACTGCTGGCACTTGCTGTCGTCTCCGCGTTGAGTTGCCGACATTATTTTGGTACAGATCTCGGAAACCTCGTACTGCGTGACCGGGATTCTCGGCGTGGGGATTCTCTCGATACCGTGGGAACGATGCTCGACGCACCAGTCTTGGATCATCCTACGTATGGCGTGGTTAGGAATCATGTCGAAGCTAATCAAAGGCTGATTGGTGACGGGGCACGTCCGGTTTCCAGACTCGACCCACTTCTCGATGCTGTCCCTGTCGTAGGTGATTCCGGTGGATAAGGTCACCGGATCTCTCATCAAGTCCAGGGTAATCGGACACCGGAAGTGGGTGGGAACAACAACCTCGACATCGACGTCCAAGTCTCCGGCGGCGGCGTTTCCTTTGCGGGCACGGCGAAAAACTCGTTTTCTGGACCACGACAAAACCATTTTTATAGCGTATTTATCTTCGAGTAGAAGCAGAAGAAATCTGTTTGTTTTTGGTTTGGGAGATTAGATAGGTAGAAAGATGTGAGGGAAACCCACTTGCTGTGGTTTTATATATAGAAGAAGAGAGTAAGAGGAAGGGGCGGGGAAGATGATGGTCAAAGCGAGCGGGAGGGAGAAGGTTGAATAGGGGAAGGTTGACCGTTGAAAAGTGCAAGATGTGGAGGGAGAGGTTGGACATAATTGACACACGAGGTTTGTGGACGAAGAAAAGGAGATTACTACTATAGTACTGCTTATTACTATGATTTAGGGATGTGATTGGGAAAAACTGACTAGTTTGACGGCTGGATGATTTTGTTGAACATGAAGGGCGTGCTGCTTACTTGGACTGACTCGGCTGGTCGGTGTGCTGACCCGCTTCCGATTTTGGACCTACTTGGGCCTCGTTTGGTTTCGGCAGGTACACTTACTAAACTAAACCCCCTCTCGAATATTCCGTGGATTCTCCGTTAACGTCGTTGTCTTCGCCCCTAAAAGACAGATCCCAGTAAAACATGGTATGCTACTCTCTTATTTATATTTTGAGAATATTTATTTGAATAAAATTCTACTTTTTATAAAGAGTAATATTGTTTGTTGGAGTTATGGAGCGGGCACAAAAAATGGAGTTATGGCAGAACATTTTATATATTATTCTTTGGGATGTTTGTAAACGTACTTTAAAAAAATATTTTCACACAAGTCAAAATTAAACTCTTTTCACATACTTATTTTGAATTTCATAAAATAATTTTTAAAAAACTAATTGAAACCTCACACGATCATGTTTAATGTTTTTTGTTAGCCTTTCATCACTTTCATTCTCAATAGAGGAGCTAGTATCTTGCAGTACAACAATTCATATTTAAATTTTCTTCTTATTTTTTTGTGTTTTCTTTTTAGTTTTCATCTAAATCAAACCAGGTTTTGAATTCTTACTGAGGATACTCATATTTGGTGCATAACAATACTATAAATAAGATTGTCTTGAATAGAATATGCTAGGTCAATAACAAGACGTTCCAATGGCACCGCTAACCGCTATGTTTAGATGAATCACAGTGTATTTATATGCAACTTTAATTAAACTTATTTTCATTTCGGTGCACTCTCCTATATTTTACTCCTGTCCTTATTATAAACTTTGACTTTTTATTTGGTCTAATTATAAGACCCAATCCATTTTGTCTCATTTATGCAAGATAATCCTTCTAATAATGATAGTTTTAACCAATACTTATTAGTAAGGCTATTTTAGGAATAACAACACTTATTTATTATAAATAACCAACTTAACTTACTTCCTTAATCTCCTCAAATAATCATTGGGTCTAATTAGGACCGGTATATGAATATGCTCCAATACCATAAAATTTATTATGACCTTCTAATTAATAAAACTTTCTGTTAACTAAAATATAAAAGGATATGTTAATTATAGAAGTATATTAATGAAAATAATGAAATGGTTATTCTATAGGCAGTCTCTACATAATTTTTTTTTAACCGCCAGTCTGTACAGAATTGATTTTTAAAATAATGTGGTTGAAGAAATATTTCGGTGAACAACAGATAAGTCACCATCTAACACCTCAATTCCAACGAGACTTATCCATATTTATTTATTTAATTTGCAGTTCATCAACCCCGTTCCCGATTGAAATTAAATATGGTCTTCGACCACCACTACTATTAGATTTAACACTATTCAACTTCAGCACACATGATCTTTGAATATTCGACTTGGCCAGCTACTTTAGTATTATAATAATTATTTCACATTTTTCTACACACTACTTGACCATAACTTAAATGATGGGCTTAAAAATCGTCCCTACATCTTTTAATATTACTATACGACACATTATTTTTTTTTTTTGTAATTATGGGATAAAATACCATGAAACCCATGCTCTTATGCGTTTTCGACCTGGATAACTTTTATTTAATATTGAAATATGTATATTACTACAAAATACAACATGAACCATCTGAGACATAGGGAATATTATTTTATTTACTCACTGCGAACTGGTAACCAAAAAGGAAAAAAAAAAAAAGTTGAGAGCACTTCTACCCAATTGGGCCTCCTTTGCCTGCTTTGCCTTATATGTTACTTGTTAGAATTAAGGAAAAACTCACTAACAAGTCAAGAAAGTGGGGAAATTTTTTTTTTATATATATATAATAAATCAAGTAACAACAATTCCACCGTTTTCGTGGGGAAAAATTGGTCTTCCTTTGACTTTGCGAGGCAAAACGACGATTGAACTGTGGTTAGTAGTGCAAACTACTTGCCGTTTACGTTTGTTCAGCAATATCTTGGGTTGAGCCTAGTAATATTCATCAACATACCAAAAGCATCTTATCAAAAGAAGAAATTAGTTTCTTAAGAAATATACCTGCGCTTACAAAATAAATAAAAACACCTCTGTGAGAAAGTTTGGATAGGAGAAGAGAGGGTGGTTGGACTTTGATTTCTATCGTTTTTCTGTTACTCCAAAATATTATCCTCGATCCTAAACATAAAGCTAGTTAGAGATTCAATTTGGTTGTAAACATAAAATTTTAATTTATCTTGTCTCTTATATTTTTTAGTTTTTCTTAAAGTAGTCCCTATAATAATTACACATATTAAAAGATTTTCATTCTAATACATATAATTAATAAGAATATTTTAAAAAAGATAATATTTATTTATTATAAAGAATTATTTTAACTAATTTTTTTAACTGATTTAGTTATTTTAATTCTTATATCAAGGAGTAAAAGTCGTATACGAGAAGTGAATCGTGGCCACACTATCAAAGGTGAATTCGAAAATCCAAAAGCATAAGTGAGATCCGAGAACATGGTGACGAAGATGCAAAATGACGAGCAATGACGGTTACATGCACACGGCATGGCGGACGCCCAATATTCCTTTTTTTTTTTTCTTATTTATTTATTTATTTATTTTCTTTGTATTGAGTGTTGGGTATCTCAGGCCTATCTGGGATTAATTTGAGAAGTAACTAGGGATCCAGACTAATTTGAATTAAGGATGGCAAAAAATAAAAAAAAAGACTAGTTTGAATTAAGTTAAAGAAGAAATAAAAGGAGGACAAAACTCTACAACAAAATATTTAAAGTGTTTTGAAACTGAATTTGAGACTTTTAATTAATTTGATACAACTGCTAATTAAAACAAGTGCTTAGAGGCTACTAATAAGTTGTTGATTCAGCTGGTAAGCAGTGTCACTTGCAAGAATAATAACACAAGTTCAAATTTTAGAAAACGTATTTGTTGAAAAAGTTTTAACTTTAACGCTTTTATTCCAATACAAATTAGTTTTAAGCCCAAAGTAATGTGAGAATATATTGAATTATACCAAAAGAACAAATGCTTGGTGGGTGCGGCAAATGTTTTGTTAGAAAGAAAAGAGAAAAGGCATATAGTACGTTTCTACTTTCTTTTGAAAAAAATAAAAACAAATAATTAGAAAATGTGGAAAAGATGGAGGTTATGGGGGTGGATACATCGCAGGCAGCCAATTGGAAAACGGCGACGTTCTTTTGGCCAAACTTGTGCTTTTGGCCCCCCTGCCGCCTTCCCGAGAGAAGAAAGCAGCAGCACCAAGTAATCTTGTTGACTCCTTCTTTATCCCCAATTACACGTCACTTTCACTTTGATTTCTATAATTTCAAGCTCCTCCAAAACTCTATCACGATTAGTCTTAAAAACCACCACAAGTGGGAAGACTTAAATCTGACGAGAAGTTGTTTCGATAATTGATTCTCTGCTGAGATTCCCTTCGTGCTCTGTTTTCTTCTGCAAAACTCCTCCATAACCAATACATAAAAGGCTGTTTTAGAGCTCAGAATGAATGGAATAAGGGTGTTTTAAACATAGTGGAAAGATACGAAGCTCAAGTTTGACAATTCTCTATATAAGAATTGTCAGGTAACACATACAGATTACAAAAGCATGTGCATCTTCAAAGCAACAGATAAAGTCTAGAACTTGATGGTTACCATCTTTGAAAGGTGCGTCCAACAAATTTAAATAAGTGAGACACATATATAACTAGAGCCACTTGTATGAATCGAGCCGTTGGGTAAGTTGGGTAAGGTAGGTTACAGTTAATCTTGGCTGGCCTGATGAAACAAATTTGCCTGACTTCTTCAAGCCGATTCTGTCATGTATATATCATTACAGAGCCAGAAAGTTTCATCTTACTGAACTAGCCTAATCTCTTGACATCGATGTTATTATTACTCGTCTTTTTATAATCAAAACCATACAAGTCCATCTGATCCGTTGTTCGTCGGAGCAAACAACTTCATTCTATTTCCAAGGGTCACGATTGGAATTGATTGTAACCTCATTGATAAAGGGGTCAACTTAGGCTCTCTGTGCTCTACATGGGCCTTCAGCTTACGTAGTGGGCCTTCCATTCAGGTGACTTGGGACAAAGATGAGATCATTTCAGAGTTTGGGCTTATAATTTAATTAGTTCAATTTTCGCTCAAAAATGGGGAAAAGGTTGCTGTAATGCTTATTAAACTACAAGCTGAATTTTGACATCAGTGCTAAAGAACCTCGGCTGCTGAAGTATACTTTCTGCTGTTAAACGTTGATCACCAACATAACCATTAATACTTCTGATGCTCCTAATTCTAACATAACTGGGTCTTGGTGAGGTTTTCTATATATATAAACACATGTGCATTGAGTACGATATAGAAGCGGACAAAGGATTAGACGCATATGTTTAATGCAGATAATTAAAATATAAGAGATCTGAAACCTGGGATTAGTGGGGGGGACCATTGTGGAGATGAGGAAAGGCTTCTTGGGAACTCCCAACTGCTCTAAGCGGCGGAAACATCAACCTGTCTCTCACTGCCGTGACACTCCTTCACGTGCCCTTGTTTCTCCCTCAACCCCACAGCCACACGAAACTCATCCTTCTGTTAAAGCTTAAAAAAACAGTAAAAAAGAAGAAGAAGAAAAAGCTGGCTCCATGCCAATGCCATTGCTTTGATTTCTTCATTTCTTTCATGGGACAGTATAGTGGGTACGATGATAGGTGCAGGTTTCACTTGTTTCTTTAGTGTTGTCTGTGGAACCACACTTGTGTGATGTCTTTTAGAAATCCACTACTAATCTGCTTTTGGACATATCTGCTTAGACCTTCACGGGCTAATTCATAGGTATGTCCCCAGTCTATTTGCCAAATTTGCTTTGTTTGAGATAATATTACCACCTTCTCCTGCTTTTCGCTGTCTTCTTTTGGTGTTAGAAACACTAATCCCATTTCAACATGCGCCTTAACCTCCTGACTCCTCCATTATATTACCATTTTCTGTGTTTTACTTTCGCTTAATTTTATACACACACCCTCAAAAAGCACTTTTTGTAAGATATCATATATGCTTCTTTACTTGTTTATAAGCCCCGCCTCGTCAGCCCCATTACACAAAGTAGTACCTCTCTCTTTTAAAGTTCTGGTTCTCTTTTGATTTGAGTACTAGCGTTTATCTTATTCAAAGGCCAATGAAATGTGAGTACTTTAAGGAATAAGGATTACGCTGGAGAAGCATAATCTTGATTCCTGACACCACATGTGGATATTATATAATTCTGCAGAAGTTCTCTCAGTATCTGAACTCTGAAGTTTCTGTCATTTAGTTTCAGAGGGATATATCATTCTATCCATGAAATTATCTAATTTAGCGCATTGTGAGTCCATTAAAATAATGTCTCTAATGGATCAATAATTGTCGTCCACAATTTTTTTCTGGTGATTCTGCGAGGAGTGGAGCCTTAAAGTAAGTTATCCTTGATTCGTCCCAAAAAAAATCATTTTGCCGAAGATTTATTCGTCCAGTCCAGATTTTGATTCATAAACAATGGATAAAATAATGGCTTGTCCTGTTTTATTGCATGTCATGTGAGAGCATTCCACAGAGTCCGTACAGGTTATAGTGTGAAAAGAACATTGCTCCTTGCTCTCAGTTTAAAGGACGAAAAATTTATTTTAACTCCCAGTTGATAGGCGAATATTTGATTATCTAATTTATTTGTCTGGCCCAAAAAGTAAAAAATAAAATCTATTTTGCTTGTAGTATGGCCTTTTTAGACTCCGTTTGGTAGAGTAGTGAAAATTTTTCATAAATTCATTTCACGTAAATTGAGATAAAAACTCCTCTCACATACTTGTCTCGTATTCCATAAATACTATTAAAAAACTTTTTATAAACTGCTTATAAACTGTTGTAAACGGCTCTTAATCTTCATTATAGATAGGATAATAAGCCATTACAAACTTACAGTGGCTTTCTTGATTTTGAAAGGATAAAGAATTATGATTGTTTTGGGTATTGGATACCTTAGCCTCAGGGACTTCGTGATAACCAAGCAATTGATGATAACTCTCGAGGCTAGAATAAATGAACAAATATTTGGTTTTTAGGGCAACGATGCTTCTATATCTTCGTGCGTCGAATAATGGACCATCGCGTTATTTTCTACGAAGAAAAGTCAATTTGAAGATGGAGACCGGAAGCCATATGGATATGGTGCTTCCTGTCCTCACTCTCGTTACTCGATTGGTAAACTGACTCTTGGTAGTTATCCTTCTGGCCTAAAGAAAACTGACACGTTTAAACTCTATCTTGGCAGGCAAGGTGTTTGAGGATATTCCTCAGAGAAACCCTTTGAATAGGGTAATTGGTGAAATTGTTGCTATGATGGAGACTTGTTTTTATCATGCGAAATAATTGAAACAAGATTCACCAAATCTGGTAATAACGATTAGAGCATAGGCGCTATATATTTGATGATTAGCTGCTTAAAACATGCTTTGCTTTAATGTTTTAATGATGACTTGCTCCCACTGTTGTCTCATCTCACTAAAATAGCATCTTAAACCTAAAGACAAGAAACATATAACTAGAGAAGAAAAAATTGGAAGGGATATAAAGATTAAAAAGAAAAGGAAAACGCAGGAATGGCAATAATGCTATGAAAAAAAATGGGTTTGTTGGGAAGGACATGTGCTGTATTATTTATGGTGAGTGGGGTTGTTAAAAATAGGAGAAACAAATGATGTTGTAGGGGGTAGCATTGTATGGACTCTATGAATATGAATAATTTATGTTTTGGTCTGAGTAAGGTGAAGAGAGTGGTTGTGCTGGACGATGGACGAAACAATATCTGAAATATGAAGTTATGAAAGGCGAAGCCGACCCCATGCATGGTGGAGTTATCTGAAACACTTGTAAGGTGGGGTTGAGAGAGAGGTTGGAGAATCTTTGGAGGTAATAATGGCTAACACCTTTTGCTTGCTTTTGGTTCTATTCTTTCTCATGTTATGTACAATCATATGCTTCTGAACTAGTTGTTGTTTGGACTTTGCAGGTGGGGGAAGCGGTTGTTTCTACCAGAAAGAGGCACATAACCTTATCTTTTGTTAAATTCTAAGATAGCATTTTTTTTCCTCTTTTTTCTCTGACTTCTTTGACGTCCCACCATTGTCCCCCCAACCTTTCCCACACTCACTTCTTACCTTAGCTTTTCCATAATTAAACATCAATGCCCATCATCTCTGTCTCTCTCTCTCTCTCTCTTCTCTCTCTCACTCTTTCTCCTCATTCACACTTTTATTATTATTCCTTTTCGGTGATTTTTTATTTTTGAAAAAAAAAAATCTCTTTTGATCTCACCTTACCCTCTATTAGTGTTTCAGAAACATAGAAAGCCACAAACCTGTTTTGTCTTCTACTATTAATCAGCCATACGAAGAAAAGCAACGCTAGAAGTAGATGTCTCCAATTCCAAAGCACTTTTTAGGTGGTTTCAAGGAGCAAGCTAGTTCCACTTGATCTTGAGACTTGAGAGAGGGTATGTATTAAGTAATACTCTTTTCTTCACTGTCATCCTATGATAAATATTTTATTGTTTTAGCTTTTCCTGCCTTCTATATATTTGAGAATCACTGGATTGACGAAATGGTTTGTGGATTCTAACAGTTTTGCCTTATTTCCGCACGACTCCACTCTGTTTCTTTGGCCAAGCGTTCTAAAGCCTCTGAATATCCCTTGTAAGACTCTTGTACATCTGTTCATATATAAGATGACAAATCCAGATAGAATTCCTAGAATCTGCAAGGACTAACATTTATCCGCATGCATTTCTCTGTTTTATAATATATAGGTATAATTGCACCTTATTATTGTTGCTGTTTTCTTCTCTATTTTGTGCGCTTTCATGATCACTCTTTCTCCTCTTCTCCCTCAATTTTTCCCTGAACTTGCAAACTGACGGATCACGGAGTTTGAGTTCAAACTGGAAGTTAGCTCTCTGTTTCTTAGTCAAGTCATATTGTAATGTTTGGTCAAAATAATAAAAGTCATATTGTAATGTGCACACGCTAATTGTTATATATTTATAGTTCAGGGCTCGCCCTCTTGCTACCAGTTTTTCACATATTCGCGCCAGAGTAGGCCAGATACAATGCATATGGGTCAAGATTTAGTCAGGAGCTGTTCCTTACAGAGAGCACTATTAGATTCTCTAATTGAACTGGCATCCAGCTCTGGTTTCACTTTCGACCTTTGATCATACATCAGAACAGATTCAAAATGGTGGAATACTTTTTGCCGATCTGTTCTTAAACGGGTCATGAAAAAACATAATATTCTGTGGGACTTAATAGATGGATTATGTGTTGCAAATAGTTAAATCAATCTTCCTCCATGGCATTTTATTAGTAGATCTACCATGATTCATGAATTCAACAATTCTTCGTCCTCCTCGAGCTTGGTATAGGAAAAACAGAAAAAGAAGTGCATCCATGAATTGCTTGTTTTTTCACCTTGCTTTATATCTGGTAATCTTCTGCAGTTTCAATAGAGTTCATCTATTCTGCTGCCTCTCCTAGCAGATTTGAAGACCATAAAATTATTCCTGATATCAGATTGTTTTCCGCTATGCTATAAGTATGAACTGTAAGGCATTTCATTGCAGGAGCAGGCCAGAATAATTCTTTTGCTGCAACCCTGAAAGGGATCTGGTTTTGATGGTTAATAGCTGAAAACTGGGCTACAACTTAAGCACAGCCAAGTCATGAAAGAAAACTTTGATCTTGAGGTGGAGGCCTCCGCAGAAAGTGAATTTGAAGTCAGCAGCCAGGTTGCTTCCAATATATCCACTCAAGAAACTATTGCAGGTCCTTGTATTGATCAAAACCTGTCCAACTCTTCCACCCCAGGAATTCCAACAGAGATTATTGATGGAAATGCAAATCCCATATCACTTGACCTGACTCTGAATTTAAATAATAAGGAGATAGCAGGTTCAAGAGATTCCGTACGACTCTCGTTCTCAAGCACCAGTGAGAGTAGCAATGAACCTGCCTCTCAAACTACAGAAGCGACCATTGCCAGAGTTTTCTCATGCAATTACTGTCAACGCAAGTTCTTCAGTTCGCAGGCTCTTGGGGGCCACCAAAATGCACACAAGAGAGAAAGATCATTGGCAAAGCATGCCATGAGGATGGGTTTTTTCTCTGAGAGGTATGCAAGTCTCGCATCTCTCCCTCTTAATGGTTCTTCCAGATCATTGGGAATAAAAGCGCACTCCTCACAGCACTATTGCTTTCCACCAACAATGAAGGTTCAAGAGATGAAAAGCAATGCAAGATTTGAGATAGGATATTTTGGTCAGCCAATGTTCTTGGAGGATAATGAACCTGGACTTGTCTGGCCTGGTAGTTTCCGTCAGATTGCAGGCATCGGTGATGATCATCAGAATTTTCTGCTGACTGAAAGTTCTGGTTTGAGTTTTAGGGATATGAATCCACCAGTAGACATAGAGAAGTCCACCCCAGATTTGACATTAAAACTTTGAAGGGATCATTCGCTTCTCAGATCTGGCTCTGGTTTATCTGCTCCATTGTTATGACTTTTGTACAGTAGTACATGCAGGGCCATGATTGTCCGATTTATTTTAGGCTTTCTGGATTTTCCTTCAGTTCTTTTAGGATTACTGGTTTTGGGCTTCTGGTGTTTTGTTTAGTACGTTTATCGCGTATAAGAGCTCCAGGAGAACAATTTGAAGCGTCTGTATTGTGTTTATCTTACATATCATGTCTTCTGTTTATTATAATTACTGAGCTTCCGGTGTGCTTTGACAATTCTATTAGTGAATGCTTAAGAGTCAAAACTAAAGTGAAGCCTTGGATTAAATTTTAGCCTTACTTGGTCATTAATGGAGTCGTGTCATAATTTTTCTCGGAGAAACCTCAGTTCGGAATGTCTCTATCAAGTGTCAACAAACCTTTTGACACTTCTTGCTAGAATTTTTCTAAGCATAGCTTCCATTTTATCTCAAAAAATATATTTTTATCTTTTTCTATTGTCTGTACTGGTACATATTTTTATGAGGTAAAATTTTAGTTGGGGCAGAGAAAATAAGGGAAAAATTCATGGAAATCAAAATTCACTTTAACATGAACAGCAACATAAATTATTTGTCTGAAAATGCCTTTACCCTTTTTTATTTACTTCATAGAATTAAAGTGCATTTATTCCACTGAAATCACGATATAAACACTAATAATTTCATTTATAAGCAAGCAAATAACTATACGTGAATATTTAATGACACTAGATTAAATATTTTTCTCTTTCTTAATCTATGAGAAAACAGATTCTTACAAATAATTTGTGTTGCTGTAAATTTAATATTCATAAAATTTATCCTCATATGATCTGCGCCAATTGATATATTATCACATTAAAACTATCATTTTAAGCATTACATTAATTTATTCAATTACTACATTAAAATTCAAAATCAGAAATAATAACGATTTTCTTTTTCAGAAGGAACAAGGATTGAAACTCAGAACTTTGTTCTTGTGTATGTTAATGCTCTCATATATCTTGCGTGCAAATCTCAATCTCAATATTTCGTTACTCTATATTATTTAATATAATGAGATTTTTTTATTCTAATTATAGTTCTATTCTTTTTTTTTTAAAATACAATTTATAGTCTATCTAATTGTTGGAAAAGATGTAAATTTTTATGGCCAAACCGCTTCGCGCCCTTTTGATTGTTTCGTTTGAGTTATTAGGAGAAAGGAAAACGAACCATTGTCTTCCACAAGACTTGTCTCTTCGTTTTGGCATCAACAGACTCGTCACTTTCCATCTACCAGTTTCCATTTTAAGCATTAACAGCCTCACTTCATCAAACCAGAGTCCTCTGAAATTAAAAGGAATCGCCTTAATCTGTACGGTACGATGATGTTTTGTTCCCTTGCTTCAATCCTTTTCATTTTTTTTTTAAAACCAGATGTTTCAGTATCTTTCATGATGTAATTTTTTTTTTCTGTGGTTGAAGACTGTACACTCTGTTTTTTGACTTTTCCCCACCTGTTGCTATCACCTTTTCGCTTTCTTTTCTTGAACTCCAAGTCTCAGTTTGTCCCTTAAAAAAACAAAAAGAAAAAATATCCTAACGCACAACAAGAACAGAACGTAAGACTTTTGTGTTATAAATCTGTGTTTTTTGTGCATATGTAACGAGAAGTTCAGATAGATTCTGTTTAAGAATTTGCAAGGACTGTAGATGAAACAAGAATCGGCACTGCAGTTCTCTGTTTTACGACAGTATAACCTTAGAGTAAAACATACATGAATTTGAAATTCTATTCAGGCCACATATACTGGAATTTGAAGAGACTGAATGATGTAAACTTAAAGTGCTTTTCTCATTTCTCTTTTATTATGTCTTTCACAAATTGTTGTGATAAAGTTGTTGAATATTCAGTCTGATGAAGTTTGTGAACAAAGTACGGAGTAATTCTCATTCTGTCGTCTGAATTGGAATCTAACACTTGTTTTACTTTCACCATTCGATCATAATTTATACAATAGATTCAAATTGATCGGCTACTATATTGTTGATCCCTTCTCAAACCAGTCCAGAAACGCAGATTTGGTTATGGAATTTCATCGATGGATTTATTCGTTTTGCCGACAATTAAATTAAACCTTCATACATGACGTTTTTACTAATACGTCTCCATGATTCATGAATTCAATATGTTATTATTTTGTTTTATTCATTAAAAAACATTAAATTTGACTGTTTATGATATGAAGGGACGGCCAATATCTTTCTCGATGTCTTATTCTAACTTCTATTATTGAAGATATTCACTCTGTTCTCTTTATCCACTGCTTTATCACTTTCTTTTCTTGAACCCCAAGTACCAAAACCATGCGAATCGTTTTGAAAAACTTGTCTAACAATCTGGGGTTTGAGCTTGATGCAGAATTATCAAACCTTGCACGTGAATTCCGACATGGGTGGTAATCATGGTCGTCTTATGGTTTTTATCGTGCTCTGTTTCTTCACAAGAAGCGAGTCATGGAATTGGTTCTCATCATCATCATCATCATCAACCTCCGGAAGGACCCATTGTGGATCAAACACAGTGAGAGGTTCAGTTGCAGAATACTCAGCGGAAGGTTTAAATGACGAGAGGGGAATAAAGTTAGTGGAGAACGCAAAGGAGAAAATGGTGAGATCAAACTGGTGTTGGCAAAACGCATATAAGAATGTATTTGCAGGGTGTTCTGAGATTCTAGCAGATGAAGAGAAACGTTCAAGACTTGCTTGGCATCTCAGTGATTGCTTCCAAAGAGACTCTGGTCGTCCTCATTTTCCACATTGTGATGCGAAATCGCCCATGTCTAGTTGCCTCAAAGCTCTCGATGATCTTGCCCACAAAGTCTATCTTGAGTTCTATCTCGAAACCAACACAATCTGCCATCAGTTGCAGTAAGTGCCTTTTTTCCTCACCCTGTTTCATCTTCTTCTTTTATTTTCTCTGTTCTCTACGAAACTTAATTGTAGTTTTTGGGGATTTTGAATGCTATATAATTTGTGTGAAAATTTAGCATCTGTCCATTTCTTTTTTAAAATTGAAGTTACTGGTATATAGTAGTTCATGAACCTTTGAAATAAGATGTTTTTCCCCCTCTCTGTTTCTTCTATTTCTTTTTATTTTCTTGGATACTCTGTTCTCTGCAAAGCTTAATCGTAGTTTTTGTGAACTTGAATGTTATAATTTGAGTGAAAATATAATCCTACTTTACGAAAGAGTTATGAGTCTTTTTTAAATTTAAAGTTTCCTGTGTATAGTGTTCATAAGCTTTGAAATAAGATGCCTTTTTCGGAGAATAAAATTTCACCAAACACAAATTTCCATTTCAAAAGTTCAAAAGATTATATACAAGTGTTCCAAAATTTATATAGATGCTTCTGCGGGTTTTCTTTGGCGTTTGTTAAAATAATACCCCATTTTTTATTCAGCAAACAGTATTATTGCGTGTTTTTGTTTTGAAAGATGTTATGTTTTTCAGAGTATAAAAATTCAAAAAACATAAAAGAAATTTAAGTTTAGGATTTGAATTTTATCATTTTCGAAACAAAAGCTAGTCGTAATATTTAGGGTAGAAATTTTCACAAACGCATAATTTTCCATTTCAAAAGTTTGGGGCATATGATTTTCAATTTTCTACACTAACCTCTTTTAATATAAAATAATTTACTACTCTATAAAATAAATTTTAAAGCTCGAAAGATTATCCACGATTGTTACAAAATTTATATACATGTTTCTGCAAATTTTCTTCGTTGTTTATAAACACGCCCCTTTTTGATTCATCAAATAGTAATATTCCATGTTTTTATTTCGAAAGAAGCCTTCAAAATTGATCGACCATTTTCAAAACAATTTTTCAATCCCCAATATAAAACATTTTATTAGCACCAAACCAAAAACCCTCGACTTCTCATCATTATTTCCCATCAAAAACTACCACCCAAATCATCCCAACAACTCATTAATTCCTCCCAACATTAATTCACCAAACGCTCAATAATAATCTTCAGTTTTATTAATAATAATAACAATAATAATCCCCTCCATTCCTAAAATCTCCCATTCCCTCACTTATTTCTCATATTTGTTCATCTCACACCAATATCTCTTTGCTTTTCTTTTTAATAACATTACAGAGCTCACGCCTTCAAACACGAGACAGAGAGACTCATCACAGACCTCAAAATTTCAGCCCATTACGTAGAAGACAAACTAGATGCCATATCCGACAAATCCGAGAATCTCTTGCAAGAATCAAAGAAACTTCATGATTTTGTTGATTCATTTGATGTTCGCACACAACAAATTGTTGAAACTGTTGTGAATGTGGAAGATCGTACGAAGGTTTTGATGAGGAATTCAGAGAGCATATTTGAGCAGGGGAAGAAAATTGCAGATTCACAATTACAGTTTGCGGAAGTACAAGAGGATATGAAGATGAGATTTAAGGAAGGGATTGAGATTCTGAAAGAGTCGCAGAATAATTTAGGGGAAGAAATAGGGAAGATAAGGGATGAATCCATTGAGATTCAGAAGGAGATCATTAAAGTTGGAGACACAATGTCACAAGAGATGCAAAGTCTTCATAGTAAAACTGAGAATATTGTTCACTTGGCTGCTATTTCCTTGGACAAACAACAACATCTCATTCATGGCCAATCCAAAGCACTCGACAACCTCAATTCATTATCTGAGTTCCAATCAAAAGCACTCCACGAAACAAGGTTTTCCCATCATTCTTTAATGTTTTCCCTCAATTTCTGCTATCACCAATTTTAAAAAAAAAAAACTGTGTTTTCTTTTTTCCCCCTTCCCTTCACCATTACCACTACAGGTTGACTTTCCAACAGCTTGCTGAGTTTGGACAGAGACATCACCAAGAGCTTCTTCTTCGGCAGGAACAAGTTCAAGGACTTCATGATCGTTTAATGACGAATACAAAATCAATACTTTCTGCTCAAGTAAGTAACTAACTTAACTGCTTTACCAGTTTCTTTCTTTCTTTTTCTTTCCTTTTTTTTTTTTACATATATATAAATATTTTATATGTTTGCAGGAATCTTTTGAATCAAAACAGGCTAGCATGTTCGCTGCATTGGACAAGATATTTTCTCTGCAGAATGCTATGTTTGTGGAATCTCGAATGATCAAAGCTTTTATTGTTTATTTTGTGTCCATTCTTGTCATCTATATGTTGACCAGCACGAAGCAGACGTACAATACCAGGCCGTGGCTGTATATTGGTAAAAAAAAAAAAAAAAAAGAGGAGAGCACTTAAATTTTTTTGAATAAAAAAATTTGGGTGTTTTTTTGGAATTTGAGTTTGAAAATTTTGGGAATTATACATATGTGTGTGTGTGATTGTGGGGTTTAATAATAGTGAGGGACATTTTTTTTTTTGGTGGTGTTGGCAGGACTTTGTGTTGTGTTCTTAATGGAAATAAGCATCGTTCGTTTCACCAATGGTAACATTGAACAACAGGCTTGCATCATTAGCATCATCAGATCAGTTTTCATGATCATCGCTTCTGCTCAACTTCTTTACGCCATTTTCACTTACAGGTAAACCTTCACACAAACATTTAAAAAAAAAAAATCTACTTATATATATAACAGAGTTATTTGTCAACTTTTGCAGAAATTATGAAGTTTTGAGCTATCATATGCTGCAAACTCTCAATGACAAGCTTAGCATCATGGAACAACGCAAGAAACTGGCTTGGGTGACGGATGAAGAAGAAGATGATGATTTGGATTGGTCACGATGGATTGATACAGATTTGCCAGAGGAGGTGAACTGCATTGAAGATCCAGATTTTATATTTCCAGAGGAAGAAGTTGGGGAGAATTCCATTACTGTGTCTTCCAGGAAATATAATTTACGAAGTCGGAGAAGCCATTATCTTTGATTTAATTACATTCACAGGGATGACCACTTTTATGTTTTGTGATGAGAAAATATGTAATGTGTATTTTATTTAAGAAAATAATTTTGGGCAGATGTAAGCCCCAATAATTTGACACGTGTGCTGTATTGAGGATTTGTGAGTGAATAATTTAAGATTTAAAATTAAATTAAAAGTATGGAATGGTTTATACATATGGATTGTTACGCGCTGTTTTTCCTTATTTTGCCACTGACTCTCGACGCAAAGAAAAAGTGAAAAACTCATTCCATGGCTTTTTTTTATAAAAAAAAAATTGGGCGAAACATTCCATTGCATTTCTTATCTAAAAAAATATGTGCACAATAAATAATGGAAAACTCTAATAAATGTAAAATTGAAAAATTAAGGCAAATCCAGTTTAGTGATAGATAAATAATACTACCTAAGGTTCCTAATATAAGAGCTCATTTGATTTTTATTTTGATCATAAATATAAAACCCGATCTACTTTATCTTTCATATTTATCTATTTTTTTCAAAGTAATCATTGTAATAATAGTAGTTCTAACCATTACATTTGATTAGCAAGGATATTTTAAGAAAAACAACATATATTTATTACAAATAACTAATTTTGTTTATTTTTTTAATCTATTCAAATTATTCAATCAAATTCTTATATCAAGGACTGTAGGCAGTATTATACTTAAGTGAACTGAAATTCAATTAAACATAATATTTTTTTTTGGTACAACTGAAAATCAAAAAACTAGACTAAAGTGGGATTAATCCCACACAATCCTTCTCCACTAAGCTTCTCAGACTGCTGGGGCACGTATCAAAATATGATGAGGTTGATAGCCCTCTTTTAGCCAATTTATTAGCAACTGTTGTGAAATAATGCAATATGTGTGTCAAATAAAGTCCCACATGGGAAAGATGAGAAGAAGTCTAAGTGTATAAATGAGATCAAGCATCCTTGGGGGGGGTAAATGGGCCAAGAGGGAAGTGGGCCTTGCGCACACAACAACAGGCCACCAGGAGGGAAACGCAGTTGTAAACCGGCGATTTCCCCCCCTGCGCGTGAATTAAACGCGGTAAAGCCTCATTTTACGAAAATTATTTTAAACTTTGTTGAATATTTTTTAATAAAATTATGCTTACGAAAATTGGGCGAAACTTCGTTTTGTGGCCGACCGGACGCGTCTCGCGGGGTGTAGGCGAACGTTGTGTGCACCAACGTTCGCGTCGTTCCGTCTCCAACGGAACCTTACGTTGCTTCGGTCGTACCCGCTTGGCGAAACAGAGGGATGCGTCCTCCGGTGATGTGGCCATTCGCGCCTATATAAGGGACTGTCCAGGCAGCGTGAAGACATGCTATTCCATCCTCTTCCTCTTCTCTCCCGCGGGTGTTTGCTGTTACAATTGCTTTCGCTGTTCTGCTACCTTGCTTCGCAGGAAGGGTTCGTTTGATCCTGGGGAGTGCCGCTGCCTGTTACACCGAGGGGTTGCGGAATATCTCTCAAGGACAGTGTCCTTGTGACGCGACTCGAACCGGATTTGCTATTCCTCATTTGCTGCCGCCAACAGCAACTTCATTAGCATTCCTACTGATATAGCAGAGCTGCACTTCCCAGTCAAACTTCAATAACTCAAATATCTGCATCATTAACAAGCTGCAATACTGATTGTTCCTCCCCTGATTAATAGACTCAATCAGATTCTTTGCATCGGATTCAATAATAACACGTTTAAATCCAAAATCCCAAGCTAACTTCAAGCCCTTGAAAATAGCCCAAGTTTCGGCCTCCAAAACATTACACGACCCGAGTTGAAGCGAGAAACCCACAATCCAAATTCCATTATGGTCTCTAATGCATCCCCCACAGCCAGCTTTTTTCGAGCTATTTGACACAACACCATCCACATTTATTTTAATCCATCCTTTTGATGGCTGCTTCCAATTAGTTGAGCTGTCCGACGGCTGTTCTCTCATGCCATAGTGCAACTTAGTAGCAGCAAAAGTGAGGTTCGGCCATCCATCTCTGATTATAGCCACTGGATTAGCAGGTCTAACAAAAGTCTCATCAAAAGTTGCTTTATTCCTCCAGAGCCACAATTTCCAAACAGTAACTCCCCATGTCAGATTCCAATTATTAATTCTATCAGAACCCATATTTTCCTTGAGATTTAGAGCAATCCACTCTTTTAAAGTACCAGAATAAAAACTGTTCACATGTTTGTTGTCTACCAAAACATCCCACACTGCTCTTGCATAGGCACAGTCTCTAAGAACATGTAGAATACTTTCAGCATTTTGAAGGCAATAAGAACATATAGGGGAACACTGAGACCATCTACTTCTCCATAGATTAGTAGGAAGTCTACCATGGAAAATTCTCCAAATAAATACCCGAATCCTTTCAGCACCTCTCCATTTCCAAATAAGCTTATATATTGGACTATAGAGAGTTTGGGGATTCTCCTCCATCATAAAATAAGCACTCTTGATGCTGAACATACCAGTGCTTGAGTCTTTCCATACTAAAAAATCCTCCCCAGCAGAATCAAAAGGAGGCATTACTCCTTTAAGTTTTGTCAAAACCTCAGGTTTAACAATAGATTCCAGCTTATGGAAATCCCAGTTACCATAAATCACCCAGTCTGCCACCACGCTGCTACCCTCTTCGATAGACAGAGGTCTTATGCAGAGCTCTTTAACTACCACATCATGATACAACCATAAATCATTAAAAAAAACTGACTGATTTCCCATTCCTCAGCTGCCGCATAGATCCTTTCTCAATCAATTCTCGTTGTCTGCAAATAAATTTCCAAACACTGGAATCTCCAAGCATAGCATCAAATAGATTTTCATCATTATGCATCATATACTTCTGAAACAGCACATCAGCCCACAGACCTCTTTCCCCTATCATTAATTTCCAGGCTAACTTTGCACCACAAGTAGAATTCATCGAAGCAAGTTTCCTGAAACCCAGGCCTCCATAAGACTTAGGTAGAGTAACAGATTGCCAACCTATAGGATGATAGCCTTGCTTATCCCGGTTATGACCCCATATGAAGTCTCTTTGTAGTCTTTCCACTTCATCACAAATCTTCTTAGGGATTTGGGAAACTTGCATAGGATAAAGAGGAATGGAGCTCAAAACAGACTTAGCCAAAGTGATGCGACCTGCAGTAGACAAGCATTCCACTTTCCAATTGGCTAACTTGTTTCTCACCTGGTCAACTATATATTGAAACTTTGCTGTAGGTTTCCTACTTTTTGTTAAGGGAAAACCAAGATACTTCCCTATTTCTGTTGACACTTTCATTTGTGTTGACTCTCTAATCCTTCTCCTAACATTTGCATCAACTTTAGGAGAGAAATATAAGGAAGATTTATCTCTGTTAACTTTCTCACCTGAAGCCTGAGAAAATTGATCCAAAACTTCCATCATGCAAGCAACTTGTTTATCAGAAGCAACTCCAAAGAGCAATAAATCATCAGCGAACATTAGATGAGAGATAGAAAGGCCACCTTTAGAAATGGAAATAGCCCTCCACTTACCTTCATCAACGGCATCACAGATAAGATGGGATAATCTATCCATACAAAGAACAAAAAGAAAGGGGGAGATAGGGTCTCCTTGTCTAAGACCTCTCATAGGAGCAAAGTACTCAGTTGTTGATCCATTCCACAACACATTGTAGGTTACTGAGGTTACACAATCCATAACAAGATTCACAAATTTATCATCAAAACCCACATCATACAGTACCTTGCAAAGGAAGTTCCAATTAAGCCTATCATAGGCTTTTTCAAGATCAACTTTCATCGCTACAAGCCCTCTCTTTCCTCTGGCTTTACTCATTACATGAAGAACTTCCTGACCAATAATAATGTTGTCCTGTATATGTCTTCCTTTAATGAAGCTGGACTGGAAAGGGGAAATTAAATCATTCATCACTGCTTTAAGTCTATGGGTGATAACTTTAGTTAAGCATTTGTAATGCACTGAACAAAGAGAGATAGGCCTGAAGTGAGCAACTAGCTGAGGATTTTCTCTTTTTGGAATAAGAGAAATCAAGGTCTTGTTTGAGTCATCCACTTTTATACTTCCCTGAAAAATGCCTTTGACAAAACTACAAATAGAGGGGCCCAACACCTTCCAATTGTGTTGAAAAAAGATAGGGGAGAATCCGTCGAATCCGGGGGCTTTGTAAGGGCCCATAGCAAACAGCACAGATTTAATCTCTTCATCAGTAGGCAAATTACTCATATCATTTATCAGATTGCTATCAACCTTAGGAAAATTGGCCCTCGTTTCTAAGTCATTATAGCTGGTGTCATTCGAAGAGAATAAAAGTTTGAAATAATCGACAACCATTTCTTTCAGTTCCGCATCATCATCCACCCAAGTACCCTGTTCATTTTTCAGAGTAAGAATTTTATTCCATTTCCTCCTCTTTTGAGTTTTAAGGTGATAATAACGAGTATTCCTATCTCCCTCAGTTATCCAATTTGACCTAGACTTTTGAAACCATTTGACTTCTTCCAACTTTAACACCTCCTCTAATTCCAACTACAAGTTTGATTCAAGGTCGGTAAGGAATTTTGATAGAGGGTATGCTGGAGATTTTTGAATACCTTCCAATCTAGCAAGAATATTCCGTTTCTTCAATTCTACAAAGCCAAATACTTCCTTATTCCATACAAGGATGGAATCTTTAAAGTGAGACAAACTCCTATTAATATCATCATCACACTTCCAAGCATTTTCCACAAAACTATTGAAATTCTCATGCTCAATCCACATAGCTTCGAAACGAAAAGGTTTGTTTCCTCTAAAATTCAATCTTTCAGCATCAAGACACAAACTCAAAGGATTATGGTCAGAAAATTTTGTTCGAGCACATACCTTTATCAAATAACTTTGAAAAGAAGACATGAACATAGCATTGCCCAAGGCTTGATCCAGTCTCTCATACATCTGTGAGCACCCCATCATCTTTGGCCCTTTCCAAGTAAACTTAGGGCCTTTAAATCCTAAATCTGTCAGCCTACACTCTTTAATTCGGTCATTAAACCAATTAAACATAATAATAAAAGTTTTGTGCATGTCTTTTTAGCAATCAATAAGGCCCAGATAATCAATAAGGCCCAAAATCTTGATTGTCATCCGTACATTCGTGACTATTTCGTCCTCATCAATTGCGGGTGGCAATCTGCGCTCTTTTTTTTTGAATGGGAAAATTTATTCAAAGGAAACAAGTAAATACAAAAAGTCAAAACACGATTACAGGTCAACCCGACTTAAAACAAAGCAAGTAAATTGTGATTGTCTTTTGCACAAATAGTGTAATCAGTCATAGCCAAAACTTCATGCACCACACGTGCTGGATGCGCTGTTTCCTGGCAAAAGAGATGGCGATTACGCACGTTCCAGAGCTTCTAGCAGAGCAGGCCAAAATTAATGCACCAGCGTGTGTTCGAGGTGTGAGTTCCCAAGTTACGAGTCAGCCAATCCTTGAAAGGATACCGGAAGAATTCATGTTGTTGATCATTAGGAATGAGAAGGTTCCAACAATCTCTGGCGAATTTGCACTCCCTCAGCACATGGTTGATGTCTTCCACGCCATTCTTACAAATTTCACAGCTGTCACTTGTAGTCATATGGCGTTTCAGTCTAACTGTGTTGGTTAGGAGTTTATCATTCAATGTCAACCATAAGAAAGTGCGAACTCTCTGTGCCCCTGGCCATTTCCAAGCATAATTCCATATTCTACTTTCATCATTCCATTCCCCCTCCATAATTGAGTGATATGCCGTGCTAAGACTAAAGTCCCTTTTGGCAGTAAGGCTCCAGCTTTGCCTTGCAGGTTCGCTCGTAAGTGTTGGCGGCTTAATCTGTGCTATTAAGCCCAAAAGATCATGTGGTAAATGATCCTCAAACTTAGCCCAGTCCCATAAACCTTTAGCTGTAACAAATTTGCTTATGGGTAGTTGGAGTTCATCTTCACTTAGTGGCTTATAAGACAAATTAGCGAGAGGACCAAGTTCCCCTACCCAATGATCCGACCAAAATTTGACTTGATGGCCATCTCCTGGGTTCCAAATGAGTCTTAGTTTCAACTCCTCCCAAATAGAGCCTAGATGTCTCCAAAGGTAGGAAGCATTCTGTTGTTTTGTAGAAGGTGTTTGCCCCTCTTTCCATCCATACTTTGCTCTTAGGACCTGAACCCAAAAAGCATTTGGTTGTTTCACAATACCATGAGCTACCTTCAGAAGGAAAGCTGTATTTTGGACTCTCAAATCCTTGATTCCACAGCCCCCTCTATCCTTTGGTTGGCTAATCCTATCCCAGCTCATTAAATGTACACTTTTCTGGCTCTCAGTGGAGCCCCAGATGAAATTCCTTATAATTGAATGGATTTTGTTGCAAGTTGAAGTGGGCACATAAGTTGTTTGCATTGCATACAACGGTATGGTGGAGAGCACAGAATTTGCGAGAGTGATGCGTCCAGCAAGGGAGAGAGAATGTGTTTTCCATCCTCATAATTTCCTCTGAATTCGTTCGACTAAGTAGTGGTAGGTATCTTTCGTGACTCTTTGATGGATCAAAGGAACTCCAAGATACTTGCCCAGATTATCAGTTTGTTGGAATCCTAATTTTTCACAGATAGCCCGTGCCTCATGTCTCATCACGTTTTTTGAGAAGTAAATCTTTGACTTACTATCGTTTACTCTTTGGCCCGAGGAGCTACAGAAGTCCAGTAGAATTTTCTGGATCTGGGAGACTTGGTGGGGAGTTACATCACCAAACAGGATAAGATCATCTGCGAAAAACAAATGGGATAGAGGGGGTCCCTTCCTGCCCAGCTTAATAGGGTGCCATGCTTTGTCTATCACCGCATGTTGAATAGTTTGAGACAAACTTTCTATGCATAGGACGAAGAGATATGGAGATAAGGGATCCCCTTGTCTGATTCCTCTTTGTGGCTTAAAAGGTTCAGAAGGTCTTCCATTCCATAAAACTTGCATGGTAGAGGAGGTAATGCATTCCATAATGATTCTCACAATGTTGGTAGGGAACCTAGCATCATTGAGTGTATCACAAATGAAGTCCCACTTCAACCGGTCAAAGGCTTTCTCGAGGTCAACTTTAATTGCCATCCAGCCTGTCCTTCCTGTTTTCCTACGCATTGAGTGTATAGCCTCCTGCGCTACAATGATGTTATCTGTGATACTTCTTCCTTTAATGAAGCTGGATTGATTGGGCAGGATTAGTTCTGGCATGATCCGCTGGGCAATCTGCGCTCTTTATTCCTTTACTTCGCGATACTTCCGTTCCTTTTTTTTTTTTTAATATGATGTTTTAAATTTCATCAGTACTTACATATTTAACATTTTCTTCCATGCATCCTTTGTTCGTGGGTATTATACCCTACGTACCTATCTTCTATAGATATAATTTGTTGCGCTTAATATATTTTTTAGAATTTGGTTGTATTTCAATGAGGAAGGCTTATTAGAGATATAGGATTGTATATCGGATAATACACTTTTTTTTTGAACCATCGTGTTGGATAATACACCTGAAACATTAATCCAGGATTTAGAGAGAACTCCATTTATCTATATGTGTCTATTATAATTAACTCTCCGATCAACCCTGGTATTTTATCATAAATATATAATTAGATTTAATTTGAGAATGGATTGTAATGGATATAGGTAAATAAACCTAGGTTTAACTAATTGTACTGGCTTCATGCTTGTGTTTTGAAGATCATACTGATTAGCTTTGCACATATTTGACTTATCACAATGTATTATTAATACATCCTCTAATGCATTTCAGGATTGACGTGCTTTCATTTGTATCCTTTTTGGATCGTCTATATATATGAGTCACAACACATACATACATACATACATACCACTCTGTTCCCTATTATAAGTCACTTGTATCCCAAATTCGCAAATTAAGAAATTCATTAAATTAACCAGTTTTTTTCACATTTACCCTTATAAAAGTTGAGAGAGAGGGAGGGAGGGAGGAGATGGAATGCATATGAAATGAAAAGTTGAGAGAGAGAGATGGAGAGGGAGAGGGAGAGGGACGTACGTGTTTCGAGGAGCTATTACTTCAAACTTAAATTAATTAATTTTTATTAAATTAATAGGAATAAAATTGGAAAAAAGATCATTAATTATACTACAAGTGACTTATATTTTGAAACAAACTTTTGGGGTACAAGTGATCAATAATAAGGAACAGAGTGATACATATATATAAACACACACACACATATTATTTTCCCCCCCTTCTCTTCCCCCTTGATTTCATCTGAATCAATCTCATGTGATTTATTGTCCTAATCATCCCCTCACCAATAAGAAAAGTTAGAATCTAGCTAGCTGTATAACTAAGTAAACAAAACTGCTCAGAAATCAAAATAGATCACTTGAGAAGAAACCAAAAGCAGAAGTATACATATATATATGTCGTAGGGATTATTTTAATTTTCTCTTCTCACTGGCAATTATAAGACCACCTCTCTCTCTACATTTGAAGAACGAATAAGATGATGAACTTGTCGATCGGCATGGATATATATAGTTATAATTATATAATGAAAAATCAATTAGCTAGGCCTGTCCTCTGCCACCATTCCAATCTGGTCTTCCTAACGTAAACTCCAAGCATGGATTCTTGCATTCTCTATTAACATCTGACAAACTGTTCTTCACTAGCACTCGTGCTTCCCTTGAATTACATTCCTGCACGCCCATATTTAATTTTCGTCTCAGTACAATTTACTGAGTTTTCTTAATTAATATATATATCATGTAAATTAATTATAATGAGAAACAAAATAATCAAGGCAATATTCAAAATAAAGTACTTATACCTGAGTTTGATGCCCTCTTGACATCGGTTGTGAGTGGAAGGCAGTTTTTCTGAGACCATCCATATCATAAGGATTATTCTGTGGCGGCCATGGCTCTCTGCTGCTCATTAATTGAAAAGGTGCCACAACGATGAACTAATTCCATCAATTAAATTACCGTATATATATAACCTTAGCTAATTCATGTAATTAATGGCAGATTTATATCATTTGAAAAACAATACTTGACAACCATATTATATATCACATTACATATTTGACAAAAACGGAAACTAGGTGTACAGATTGAGGTAGAAAAACAGCGTCTTACGTTCGTGATCTTATACCACGTACTAGGCTACCTTAGCTAATTTTATATCAAAGTATCGACTTACTTTAGCTATTAATTATAACGACAATTAGATAACCTAGGTATAATGAATCAAGCAATCGAAGTCAAACAAATGCGTTAAAAAAATATGCTCAACGACGTCTCTTAATTGATACTATCTTGGTGCTGAGTCTGAAAGCTGTTCTTCTACGCACATCATGAAAATAATTAAGACTAACCTTTGAATCAACATTTCGTTTTTATATCTGTAATATACAAGACTTGATCATATAATAGCGCAGAATGTAAATAATTGTTTCTTAAATTTCGGCCTATTTCCAAGCACATTTTTCATTCTTACAAGCCAGAAAATACTCTCAGTAACTACTATATATTCTCAAAATCTAAAACAATTTACCCATTTTCAACCTAATAATGTTTTTCCTGTCAAGATTCACCATTATTCTCCAAGGGAATAGATCAATCTCTATGTATATCAGCTTGAAAGTTCAAAACTCTATACTGACCTTGCACCCGCTTTAATTTCTTCTTCGCCATGTAAATTACACAACACATCTTCACACACAATGTGAAAGTACATCTATGGCTCTCAACATGAAAGTATTTACAAGGTTAAGGAATAGTACTTATTAACAAACTATAACATTTTGAGTTTTCTTTCACAAAATTTCGTAATACTGTCAATTAAGCATCAACGAAGAGAGACACACACATCCAAAGGAGAGAAAAGTGCATGCAGCATTATATATAGGGTGCTTTTTCTTATAGCGTTTCGTCGTGTCTGGTGTGTTGCTTTCCTTTATGAAAGCCATCCAATTCCAAAGCTACAAAGCTATGATGTGCGATATATTCCTTAAGGTACAAAATTTATGTGAGTATGTGCGCGCACAAAAGAAACAAAAGAAAGAAAAAACCCCAACACAAGTAAAGCAAAAGCTGAGAGACAAGAACCCTTTTTTATTCTTCATTATAATCTTAAAAAGATGGTGCGGACGTTGAGTTGCATTGATTTCTAAAGAGATACCATGCAAAAGCAAAATTAAAGCAAAAGCAAATCAGATACTCAATCTGCCATAATCAGAGTAAAATTTGCACCTCCATGCAGGAACATATATATAAAGCAAGCAATTTTTTTCCTAAACAATTAATATGTAGACAAATATAATATAAGTTAAGTATATACCTTGAAGAATTACTCCATAGAGTAGTAGAAGGATGGTCTACGTCTTGTTGCAGAGATCGATCTGCTGATCGGCCTCTTGGATTGGAAAACTGGCGAAGACCACCACGATCGGCGTTGCCACCGACGGGGGACATGTCATCCTCACCAGATCCATCTGATTGGCCTGCAAAGAAGGCAAAACCACTCAGTATTTATATTATCAAGTAGATTGATTAATACTCATATATACAACTATTCGATCTTAATGACAGATTAAATTATAATATGGTGGTATATATAACACAAACAAATATAAATTCTAATATGCTTTTTGGAGTTGTGTGTGCGTACGTGGCATCTCTGATAAAGCGATAAAATGGTTATAAAGGCGAGAGACAAAGGAAAGAGAGAAATGCTTATGGTATAAGTAAAAGTTAGATTAGAATACATAGAGTACTGTGAAAAGAACAGTGTGTTTTTGACATTTCCCCTTTCCTTGTTTTTGAACGACACTTATTGGGGCGTGTTTAGGAAGATAAGACTACTAAACAATTAAAAAATTGTTGGAGATTAAGCAATAAGAATTACTACCTGAGGAAGCAGCAGGCTTGTCAGTGGTCTTGACTGTTCGATACATCTGGGAACAAGTCACAGCAAGCCATATATATTACGAATGTATTTCCACAAATGGAAGAGAGCAAAACCGCTATTGGTTTATTTTAATCGGAATTAAAAAAGAGAACAGAAAAAGAAATGACGATAGATTCCCATTTAGATGCCTTCTCACTCTAATTTTCTGGGATAGTTTTGGAGGTAGGCTGATGTGTGACAAGATTGCAACGAGTGTGAGAGAGATGTATTATTGGAAAATGATGACATTTTGTTTTTGGTCTGTGGTTTCTTCCTGTGTGTGACAGCAGAGAAGCTGTGTTTCTGTGCAAGGTTAGTCTCGGAAGTTGAAGGAGCTTCTATGACTACTACTGTGTCTGCGTTCAATTAGATTCAATTAGATATTCACTGCCTTCTTCATCGGCTACTGTGCCCCTAACCACGTCACAGAGAGAGAGAGAGAGAGAGAGAGAGAAGGGTATTGGAGGTTCAAAGTTGAGAGCTGTACCTGCAAATGGCTTTTAACATGAGCTAATGTGAGATCTTTCACATCCATCAGCTCCAGAACTGACTTTGGAGTGGCTCCTGTGTACATATTCACCATCTCAATATATTAGTTCAGTCCCTTTCATCTATTAAAACAAAAGAAAAAAGAAAAACCCGCATACAGTACACTGGTAATAAGAAGAGAGAGAGAGAGAGAGTCGAAATGAAAAACTGATCGATTAAACGGAAAGATGAAAAATGGATATATACTTTCATGGCCGCCAAGAAGCTGAACGGCGTGAACGAATCTGGCATGGAGGGTTGTAGTCCAACGCATTCTAGGAGCTCTCATGCTTCTCCTGGAGGGTAGTTTAGGCATCATAAATCTGGATCTCATGAACCCCGATGAGGATGTGGCCTCTTCATTGCGATGATGAGAAGCCCCAACCCCGACCCCATAGTGCAACTGATGATGATGAGATTTGAAATTAGCAGGCGACGACCCGTTTAAAACCCACATCGGATTATCCAATCCTGATGCTCCCATCGTATTGTTATTATTATAAGCCCAAGAAGAGGAAGAGAAAGAAGTGTTAGAGGGCAAGGGATGATGCAACCACATCTTGTGATGATGAAGATCCTTTCCGGTGGAATGGTCGACGGGCAAGAAAGGGAAGCAACGGTGGTTGTGATACACCGGGATCCCCTTGATGGGTCTCAGGCCGACGTCGGAGGACGCATCAAGGAACGAATTCATGCGGTTCAAGTGAGAGTTTGTGGCGGCAGAAGCATTAATGGTGGGGTTGTGATTGTGATGATGATGATGATGATAATGAGAAAGAGATTGGTCTGTGCGGAAATTGGGAGCTAGAGAGAGCTCAGTACGAGCTTGAGTTGCCAAATTTGAAGAAGAAGAAGAAGTGGTTGGAGGACTTATGTGAAGGGAAAGATCAGGAGGAGAACATGTGGAACTGGGCTCGATGGCAATCCCTTGTAAGGGCATCTTTTTTGAGGAACTCGCTCGCCAAAGTTAGTGTGTGTGTGTGAGAGAGAGAGAGAGAGAGAGAGAGAGAGAGAGTTGATGATAGCAGAAATGAAAGTCCAATCCTTTAGTTGAGCAGCTCTTTTGCTTTTTTCCACAGTCTTTCGCGCCCTGCAAAAGAATCTGGAAAGCTAGGTATATAGAGTAAGAGAGAGCGCGAAGAAGAAGGGGAGGAAGGCGGAGTAATAATAGTGCCTTTTTCTCTAAACGCAGATAGACATGTCCAAGAAAAAAGTGAAGGAAAGAAAGAGAGAGAAAGAGAAAAGAAAGAGAAAGGGAAGGAAGATGGAAGGAGAAAGCAGAGGTGGCGGTGCGTTTTGTTTTCCTCGAGAGTATATGTTGGAAAATGACAGTTGCTACTACAAACAAGTGAGCAGGAAGAGGAACAGGAGAAGGAGGAAGACGATGGAAGATCTCTCTCTCTCTCTAACTAGTCAAACTGATCAGCAAAAATGTACCAACAAAATGTAACCACTTTGGATATTTCTTTTCCCGCAGACGACGGGTTCTAAATTATCAGACACATTGAAAGACGCCTCTCCCTCATCTCTGTGACTCGTTCCTTTTCCCTTTCTCTCCTCTCTCTCTCTCTCTCTCCCCTCTCTCCCTCTCTCTCTCTCTCTCTCTCTCTCTCTGTGTCGTTTCATGAAATAATAAAGTATTAAATAAATCACCCAACGCTCTCTCACTCTCATTTTTTTAGCTTCAATGGGAATGCTAATTGAGCTTCCACTATACCTTTTTGGTTGTCACAAGTTTCAATTTCTCCGGCTACTTACTGTGTATTTCCCTTCGATTTTTGTCATGCTCTTTAATTTGTACTAATATTCTTTAATTAAAATATTTTAAAAGACACGTACCAAGCTGTTGGCCTAAGTCAGACTGATGAAGACTCATTGTTGTTTTCTTCATTTTGTTTGCATCTTCCAACGTAATAATCCCCAGATCGTCGATTATATTACATACATATTATAATCAACCCCCCTTCACAAGCTATTTTTTCTTTTATCAAACAAATATTAAATCTGGGTTTTGACACTCAAAATCATGCCTGCTGGCTCTTTTCCCGTCGATTATATAATCTTTTATCTCCTTGGTGTAATTGAAGAAACCTTGAGCTAGAGGGATATATAGATAGGGATGAGATTAGGGTTTTCCAAAACCCTAGGCCAAATCGAAGATAATCATGATTTAATTATTGCAGACAATATGGGATCTTTAACTCATTCTAACCGGAAGAAACCCATCTCATTAATGGCTGACACCGTAGATAACAAACTTCTGGCTCATAGGGGGTGTCGACTGACTTTTTTAATTAGAGTCAATTTAATTAATTAATTAATTTAACAATAAGATCGAGATTCATTTTTTTGTGCAGAATGCATGCCAGCATTGTTACCGAAGAGAACACTAATTCAGAGGCTTTGTTTGGGTGGTCCATTCAATGCATAATCGGGTGCTCATTAAATGCATGCCATTTGCTTCTTACTAGTAATTGATTAAAGTTAGCTAAATTAATTACTCCTATAAGGCACTTCATACATGCTCTGTCTTAAAAATTTAATTAACTGAGTAATTTTTCAATTATATTCCTATCCAGTACAGAGTATTCATTTTAAGAAAATAATAATCTACATAACAATAATTTAGAGGTGAAATTATAAATTTATATAATAAGCTTAGCGAGATTATTTATATTAAAGACAAAATATTACATTTTCTATCTTATAAATAGGATCAGATAAATAATTATAAATTTGATTCTTCCCTTCTCAGTTCTGACCGTTCTCTTTCTTTTTTTTACTCTGCCATCTTTTTCCATGTCTTGTTGCAGCAGATGATGTTTACCCGACATGCATCCAGGAGTAGTTAAATATTTTACTCAGATTATTGGTCTTATATATAAAGGAAAATATGATTAATTTAATTTCCTGGGTCATCGCCATTACTTTTGGCATGTTCAGAGCTGTGTTGGATATATAGTTGCATTTATAAAGCTCTCAATCCGTCAGACTCTTGTCCTCTTCCCACGGATCCAAATTCTCAACATTCATTTTTATTAAGTTTTTTTGCCAAATCACGTTATCTCTGTAGCCACTTGATTTTCAATTACAATTCATATAATTCATTTCCTTGAAATGAGCTCCATTCACAACAAAAATTGCCATGAATTTTATTCCTTTCTTTTGAACCTTTTATTAGTGCAATCTTGAAATTTAAGTATTCATATTGTCATCAAAAGGTACATTGTATCAGAGAGACTCAGAACTCTCTGGTTTATATAGGTTCTATAGCAACTGGAAATTAATATATGTCTATAATTGAATTAAGACATCGACGAAGCGAATCAGTGAAGAAAACGTTCGTTTTAAATGCAAATAAAATTGTCTACATTAATTAATTAGAATTTCAATCTCCATTCATTTTTATATATGTATCCAAACGTGGTCGGCAACTAGCTAGAGTTATGCATCAGGTCGACATTTGATCAGTCAATTAAAGTAAAACAGTAGAACTTTGGTCAAGGTTGTTAAATGCAGAATATTGAAAGTGTTTAGAAGCTCTGTGGTCGCATCAGTTTGTGTATATATATGAACGACACTTGAAAAGGTATTATATTGTAATTTTCTTTCATCCCAGTCGTTGAATTTTGGGCTTTGTTTAACTCTAAAATTTATAAATACAAAATTTAATTACATGGTTCAATGCGCTTTGTATAATACATTATAAATCAAAATTGATAAGGCCATATCTTTAGCAACCATAATTTCTTGCTTCACAGTATAAGTCACTCGCAAAATAATTAATATTTATTTATCAATTTTGCCTATGAAATTGATAATTAAATGTGACTCCTAGCCTCCCTTTTGCATTCCCATTTAATATGGATAAAGTTGCTTTTTTTAAAAAAAATTGAGATAAATTCAATGAGCTAACTATTATTTCTTAGTTATGGTAAACTAGCTAGTCAAAATGACTTATATTAGTGTAGACTAAAAGAGTAATCCAGATGTGTAAATTCATGTGACTTGATCTAGGAAAAAATCATTACTTTATTATATCATCAACCTATGGATATTAATATAAACACATTACTCATTATTCAATTTAATCATAACGACTGTAATTCATCATCCCTTAAAATATAAAATCCTAACCAAGTGAATATGACGTCTTTATAAATAACCGTTGCGTGCAAGGGAAGTGTACAATGTACTGTTCGGCCTATATACTATAATACACCCATTACACTGCGCCGACAGGTGTTTCGGTCGGATAAAAGTAATTAAATTCGATTCTTTTTTATATATACTCTTCCAGTCCTAAATATAAGACTTATTTTATAGTGTAAATTACACTATAAAATGGGTCTTATATTTAGGATCAGAGAAGTATTTTACTTATCTATATATGTAGAAATCGTTTTCTATATAATTGATTGAATTAAACGTTTTGACTACGAGATTGCAATTTTAGGGATTAATAGATATTTTTACACTTTGCCCCACAGAAATTAGGCAACATATAATTTCATAAAACTATACCAAAAGGGAACCCCCGCAAAAAAATTCATATTAATATATCAACAACAGCTGGCATAAAGCGTTATCAACTAAGATCAATTTTATAGATTACACGAATAGTATTACGTTAACTAATCAGATAAAAAAAAGACATTAATCATGATATCTAATTATCTATACAGTATCAACAAATCATAGAATAACAAATTTTGCCCCACATGCTTCTCATTGCCGTTTGATCGATTGGGTCCCACTCTATAACAACTCGTTGTAATTGATGTGCAAAACAAAATTTACTATAATCATGGAAGAATTATAATGAGATCTGAGACAAAATTAATTATCAGTGAGTCATAATAACAGGTTAGAAGTCGTCATTTACTAACTTGAAACTTATTATTACAAGCTACTTTATCGTTGAGATTTTTTAGTAATTATATTCCTTATTTGAGATTTTATGACAATTCTCCCTATATAAAATTATGTAATTTACTAGTTGGTTTTTCTTCTTTTCTTCCGACAGTTAAAAGAACAGGATCGGAATTTTACACGAAAAATTAAAGCATAGCCATTAATGAGTCAGTTTATGCTATGAGGCTGCATTTTGCTGTAATCTATATTATTTGGTGGGTCCACAAAACAGTGGTTGGTTCCGCTTTCACATATATATTATATATGCTACCTTTTCTAAATCAGTTTCATTTCCTCTTTTGTTTGATTCTTTGGGGCAAACTTGGCCCTCCATTACGTACTCTCTTTATTCTTTCATTACACACACACACACACACATATGTATATAGCTCGTTGTTGAATTTTCCAGGTATAAAGGTCATATATGTATATATGCTCAAATAGGTTGAGTCTAGGACAACGCACAAAATTATTTTGTCACAAGATATGGCAATTATATATACTTTTGACATCTCCAAGACTTCAAATCTACTCTTAACCTTTCAAGTTTCAACCTTAATTACCGTAATCAAAGTCAATCTTTCTTTCTTTTTTTCAAAAAAAAAAAACTGTGCACATAATTTCAATTTCTTACAAATTATTTAAGAATATACTAGTTAACAAAATGGATGTAGAACATTGAAAGGTATTAAATATTTCCAACATAGAATGATTTATATATGCATTTTCAGAAGTGGCTTACACACATATGCATCAAGTCATCTTGTATATCTCAATTAATTATTTTGAGGTTGCTTGTTTATTGTAACGTGGAATCTGTTCTTAAATAATCATTCTATACCTTAGTCAAATACTACTACTAAAATTGATGAGGTGTGAGAGTAGTTTAGTAGTATAAATTTAATTTTATCAATTTTTGAGAAAACGATACCCAGAATCTAATAACACTTCAACTTATGGGTTGGTAGCTTATTAAAGTTATATATGTATCTTGGGCAGTTCATACCTAAAAAGACCCTAAATTGA